GGTATATGGGATTTACTAGACGTAGGAGTACGGTTTAGTTCCGGCTAAGAGTATTTGGTTTCGAGTGTTTGTTTCGCTTCATCAGAGCTAAAGAAAAAAACTACTACGGTCGTAGATCCCAACTCTTAACTTCTGGCACTTGCGCTTATTTAAAAAAAATATTTAGTACAAAATAGTCCAATCAATATGCAATTATTTATTCCATAGAAAACATTCCTTTAACATTGAAAACACCAAGTGTTTTATTTTAAACACACTTAGATTTGAAGTGATTACAAAGTTATTTATTAACAATGTCGAGGAATTCTTATCAATTTACATAGTTTCCATTTTGGAAATCCTACGAGAACGAAGCTGGAACATAAATAATTTTACATAACCTAGAAACTACTCGAATGAGATTTATAGCAAATAGAAAAAAAATACTTTGAGAGAATAATGCATAAATTGTCTTGGAAGAGAAAAAAAATGTATATGAATTTTGATTCTGTAGCTAAACAATCGAGAATGCAAACTACAAAAGCAGCAAGGTCGTTGACTGCTGGCTCAGCTCTTGCAGTGGGCCTGAAACCATGGCACAGCAGACGCGACTTCCACGACTATTCTGGTTCCTTTCTCTTCAAGACGATACCACGCTTGCCGATACCATTGGAGTGGCCACGTCACAAACTAACCACTCGTTTTAACATCACCAGTATCACTATGTATACTGACTAATACTACTACGAACGGCTACGTCATGAAGACAACTTGTTATCTATAAGGTCGTGAAAATCAAACTTGACTTTTACAATATTTATAAACTTGATTGTCAGTTTATAAATATAAATACTATCATTTATTCAAGGCTTGTTTTTTTTTTTTTTTAATAAAATAAATTTCCTGGAATGAATAAATAATTGAAATGTAAGAAAAGAACATGCTGTAGTGATATAACGGTAAAGAGTGTACGAACCGTGAGACCAAGAAGAAATAGAGCTTTACAATTTAAATTATCCTGTTATTGTTATATTTATGATTAGGATTAGTTTAAAAGAAAATTATTCAATATTGAGTACAAATTAATTCAATTATTTTTCAATTATTAATTTTTTTAATTTAAATAAAATGAATAAATAAATAAAGTTAATTTATTTTTGTTAGAAGTAATATTAGCTAATTAAAAAATAGATTTCTATTTGATAGATAATTATAAAAAATATTATCTGAATAAAATTGCGAATAGAAAAAATTTGATTCAAATATAAATAAATACGTGATAGAAATCGGTATAGTCACTTTATTTTAACACCACCACTTGACATTTTAATTATAACTTTTCCTACATAACTCTAATTTGAGTTGCTAGTATGAATTTACGTGAGATGAAACTGTACGCGCGTTCATCTGTCACAATACCCACAGTAAAATAATCAGCCGTGAATTTTTGATTCAACAATCACCACCATTTACTAGCTATATTATATACATGCAATAAGACAGCTGTCATATCCACTTGACAAATGCTACTTTATTATTTTTAATTTTATAAAAATAATTTTCCTTACTTTTTAAGTATTAATTAATTAATTTTTATTCAAAGCCTTTTGAATTTCATTTTTTCTGTTAAATAGCTAATTAAATGATAAATATACCTTCCTATTCAAATTTATTTTAAAAAAATATTAAATAATAAATATTTATTATTATAAAAATATGCTCAAATATTTAATTAGCAAATAAATTAAGTTTAAATAACTTTTGATAAAATAAGATGACTTATTTTTTTAACATTTATTAAAAATAAAATATTTAATTGTTGAGTCTTTAATAAAATAATCCTATACAAATACTGCCATTGAATGTATGTATATAAATATGTATAACGAATTTCATTAAATTCAAGAGAATCGAGTTTACATATCCAAATCTCCGGTTTATTATTAATTATCATCGTTGATGATCATTATTTCTCATTAACAAAACGACAAAAGTAGTATCATCCATGTCTCTTTCATTTTATCCTCTGATATGATGAGTGTAATTCGAAATATTGCTTAAATTGAATCACCACATTTTATCCGATAAAAATGTCTCTATTCAACACCATACGTAATGATAAAATTATAGGATAATGTAAACAAATTCTCTTTAATGAATATTTGTTGCATTAAATGCATGAATTAATCTCTATAACACAAAAAATTATTCAAACACGTTTTTTCAGGATTTCAAACAAATTTACCACATTAATTTTACTATTGTGAAAGTTGAATTAATGATTATTATTTTACTCGAGATACAATTTAATGAAAATAATTAATTTCGTGTTATAATACTTGGTTAAGTTGGTTTTTTATTTATTAATAATTGATCATTTGTAAAATAAATGAATGAACAGATATTTTTAATTGTTGATAAACATTTCGTAATAATAATTTACTGCTATAAACTTATCTAATTTTGTCGAGAAATAAAAAAGACTATCTCAACGGTTTTTATCTTGACATCAGACTGTCGATCTATGCCGCAGGTGTTTGTGCTAATGTGTATGTAGTAGATTCAAATTTATATTTTTGTATCAAGAATTCTTATAAAAACAACTAAAATCGAATAAATTTTTTATAAAATTCCCAATAAACTGATTATTTTCAATGCAAATAATTTTTTTATTACATAAAACTTCTTTTTTAGCTTCATTATTCAAATGTGAATAAACTAAAAAATAAAGTGTCTCACAAATTATTAGGAGCAAGTTAATAAGGTGTTATTCAATTTTAAAGATTATAAGTAAACAACTGATATGGAATTATTACTCATTTATAATCATTAATATGCTTTATGTTCATTTAATATGATAAGCACCTTCTAATTTTCGAGTCTAATCGTAATCGAAATATTTAAAAAATTTTTAACGTTTATATCCTTTTCAGAATCTACGAGATAGCATTTTATTAAAGGATACTTCATTGTCTAATAATTTAACGAAGAAAATATTTTGAATGTTGGTAAGGAAAAAAAAATTGGAATGTCATAAATAAACACCATTTCGATAACGAGAAATAAATTTTTTTAATTTCGCATCATGTTGGTCACAGTGTTTATAGCGTTCTCCAGCTTGTTTTGTATACTATCGCTCGTTTCATCACCTTTCTTCGAACTGCCATCTTTATAGAGCTCATTGTTTTACTAATTTTACTTTTTCACAACATGGCTTCCCTTTTATTGTCTTTCTTTTTTTATCTTTTCGTTCAATCTAAACCAAATACAAACATTCACTATAAACCTCATCAAACTACCTCAATTTTACCGGAAAATTAATCGGCTGTTTTTTTTTTCGGTAACATAGATAGTCACTAAACTTTTATTCAAACACGATACGAGACACATGGGACCAAAACAATCGAGATAGCTAAAATAACGATAAAATATACAAATATAAACACAAGCACTCACCTTGAACAGATGCGATAATTAAAATCAAGCAGGTCCATAGCATCATCCTCATGGTACCCATTTGAAGAGAAGTTGTATTGAAACACATCACTGTTGAATATAAAAAAAACACTTAGTGAACAACAAACTCACAAAATTATTTGATTGACTTAAAAAGTTTTTTTTCGCAATTAATAATATCAATACTGTTTATTTTAAACTGCTATTTGTTTTTTTTTTACGATTCGTCAAATAATGCGGCAATGTTTAATCTTTTCACTAGACAAATACACGATTACGACAAAAGCCGACTGTCTGGAACACGAAAGCCAACTAGTTAGGTCGACGCGCGAACACCGTCTGACGCGCGCTTTACTTTCGAGACAGTTCGTGCGAGCTCGGATAAGCCGAACTTTGCCGAGTCTGATTCTCTGATTGTGGCCGACCAACGGCCCTTTTACCAATCTGTATATCTCATCACACGTAGATACTCGCGCCCCCTGTCGTGTTATAACACGTTGTGGGATACACTCACGCACGTGTATTATATTATCGTGACCTTTTTACGTCTCCATTTATTTCGAATAAATAAAAGTACAAGAATCTCAATCACTCTAATCGATTTTAATGTTCCATACTCATACGTCACTTGTCTTTGACTATTTTATTTAATTTGATGAGTGGACAAAAAATTATTGAATCCTACCTTCTATTGTACAACAAATTTGTGATCGTATCTCGTTGAATTACATCGATTAAAATTATTTTGATAAGTCTAATCTTTCTGTTGTTTTAGAGTATCTTATAATTTATTATAATTTTATTAACTGAACTACTTTTTTTATTTAATTTCTAATTAAAATGTTAAACCACTTGACTACATGTAATTTTAATTTTTGCAGGTAACATTGGAATTTATTTTCACACATGAATGATGAATGTTTTATTACATACTCTATAAAAATAATGAACTTATGAGAACAAAAAAATCATGAAATTTGAGTGGAAAATTTGTAATATTAGAAGAGACGTTGGATAGATTAATTCAACACGTTTAGCAATAAGGCCAAAGCCTATCTGATCTGATTGTATTACTTGCTGAAGATTAATGATGATGAACAAGTGAATTAGATAAAATTTTTTCAGGAAAATAATATTTACTCATATTTTCATTAAAAATAGCATCTCTTAGACATACTATATACATCTAACTCAATATTAAACTTGCCAAGTACTAACGATTACTATTTTTATTATTTTTATATATTAAAAAAAATATGTAATATAAATTCTCAAGTATTTGAAGTAAATGAAGAGATTTTTTTTTACATCTCAATTGAATTGAATCTAAAATTGAATTTACTTCTTATACTTATCAACATGAAAGCAATATCAAGTTGGCCTGATTAAAATACATTATAAATACTTATGTTCATGGAATATAAAAAAAATTAATCAGTAAATCTTCACTAGTAAAATGGGATAAGAATTTTTAAAAGTATTAAAACATTTTTTCATTAAAAATAAATCTTTATATCACATTCGTATGAACACAAATACATAATTTAAAATTACATAAAATTGAAAAATAAATCAATTGAATTTACTTGTAAAAAGAAGTTAGTCAATTTATATACAAACTAGAAAAAGCTGAAATAAGATGAGCAAAAAAGAAAGCGGCATAAAAATATCTGGTATTACACAAGCTTACAAGTAGATAAAAATGAAACTTATCAAAAATTAATTCAACACATTCACATATCGCTGATGAAATGGAATTCTAGATCCAACGAAATTCAACTCGTAAAAAAGATGTGTGTGGAGTTTTAGTAATCAGTACAATTCACAGCATTGACGTGTCACTTGACCAATCACTATTCAAGTAAGGTATTACGATAATAATTATAGTATTAGTAATTTAAGATATGTGAAAAATAGAAAAAAAAATCCATTTACTTGAGATATTGTTCCGCATTATCGATAATTTCCTCGATTAACATTGATTGAGATTCATATAATTGCAGAATGTGGAAACGACTGTGGATTATAATTGCACTTGTTATAATAGCCGTAACCGCAGAACCTGCGGTTGACAACGAAGAACATGCTGATGATACCAGAGAAGTAAATAGAGATCAGATGGATATAAATATTCCAGGAATTGACAAAGAATTACCTTCTCCAGAAGAATTCCTTAAAATGTTAGACTCAATGTCTAATTTATCAGATGAAGAGAAAGAGAGTTTACGAGAATATATTTCTAAAACTCCTGAAGGTTTAAAAAATATCACTGCTGGTGGAGAAAAAAGTTTTATGTATCAAATGTTACTACTCTTTTCAATGCTTACAGTAATTTCAGTGATTTTTGGTAATTAAACATTTTATTATTGACTTTATTTATATTAATTCAACAAAATTAAAATATCATATTATATAACTAATCATTTATACTATACATATGCTTTAATAAATGCTAAATTGATTTCCAGTTTTCTTTGGATATAAATTATACAAGAATCTAATTGAACGAGACATACGTCGTGAGATGAAGAAAAAACAGAAGGAATTGAAGAAAAAGAAATGAAAATAGCTGAATCATTGAACAGATTATTGCAATTTTATTAATAAAGTTTGTTAATAATTGAGTTGGATCAAATTCATTTATAGTTCAAAAGTATGTCTATATATATATGTTTACAATTAATTTAATAGAAGAAGAAGCGTTATTGCAGTTTACTTATATTAATTTTATTATATAGACGTTTTTTATCAGAACCACAAAGTAAACTTAATCTTAAAGATTTTTTCTCAAGCTACCTTGTACATAGTTATTCGCTCCACAAAGCTAACAGAGTTCCCTCTTAACCGTTCATCTTATCGAAATTAATAATGAAGCAGTGGCTAGAAATTCGTAAGCACTAAATAATTGTTATTATACTCATCGGTACGTATCAACATGTTGAAACTTTTTAATAAATATTGAAACTGCTGACTTCATAGAACACTGATAGCAATCATTCTTTTTAATGCTCAGAGAAATATTTGCAAATATTTAGAAATGATTTATGTTCATCACAAGTATTTTTAAATTAAATATTTAAACTCTTAAGATTTGAAATAATAGGAAAAAAATGTTTTATACGGTATTGATCAACATTCACTAATTGTTCTAAGTGACAAGAAGAGTTTTACATTGACTATGAAACCTCATCTTTAAATAACACGTAGACTACACATTTCGAGTGGTATAATGGCCAATCGATTGGTAGAGTTCGAGAATTCTACTGTAAATGGTGTTCAAAGTTTAATTGCACCCTTATCCAGTCGTTATAATTGGCGACAAACTTGCAGTTGTCGCCGAATAGAATTACTGAGCTTGCATCAATTGCTCGCTTACGTGTTCAAACCTAACAGTAAGTGTCGACACAATTATTTGTCCGATAGATAAATTTGACAAAAATATAGAAGTTATTATGCTCTGGTTAATTTTTATTGTTCATTTCCGTAAAGTGCAATAGAAAAATTAAGAATTTTATTATTTTTCATCACAACAAAGTAGAATATCCGATGAGTTTCTAATAAAAAATAAAACATTTCACAGAGATATGTTATAAATAACTTTTTAAATGGAATATTATAAGTTTTTAACTAAGAAAATCATCAACTTTGTATTGAGAACATTCGAACATGAAAAAAAAATTCTTATTATAGATGTCTTTAGGAAAAATTCAACTCAGGGATTCATCAGTATTAATTTATTTGAAAATTGAGAAAAAATTTACAAAATGAAAAAGTATGGTCAACATTTGCATTTCTATTCAATTAAAGTTTAAGTTTACAAAAAAATAGTTTTAATCCATTCAAGCACACACCACTGAAATACTTGTCTCCATCAAAATTAATTTTATGGTTTATAAAAAATTTTCGGGCAAGTATTCAAAGAAATTCATCACATTTTCTATTTTTTCAATGTTCTTAATATTATTATCATCACTGTTATCAGCTTAATTATTATCATTTCCACTATTATACCGTTTTTTTCACAATTACTATTAACAAATTGAAGCTCAAACTTATACATAGTTCTCAGTAGTCCAGCTTTTATCGAACAATTTTTGTGTTTTAGAACTACGTTATAAGTTTTTTTGTATAGAAAATTCATTGTCGATAATTAACACCGATAGTTTATTATTTAACACGTTTTTGCTGTCTTTGACGGTAAATGTCATTCACAGGTGGTGGTGGTAAGTCTTCATCTTCACTATCTTCACCACCTAAACGAGTTCGTCGTCTTTTTGATCCAATTCCAGTACCATCATGACTTTCATCGACAATCCAGTGTACGGATTTAGCCAAATCAAATAGTTTTGTGTCACATCCATTATCAGCAACTGGCAAAGGTGCTGCAAAGAAATTTCAATTTTATAGTGTTTATTGAGAGATAGCTTTTGTAAGTTGAATGTGACGAAAATACTATTTATCTTATTAAATAAATATTTAAAAAATATATTTTATCTTCGACTATTCAGAATATTAATAAATTAAAATAAAATATTAGATTAATAATATATTACCATGATCGGGAAGTTGAATTCGACTGAACACATCCATTAACATGTCGACAGCAACGAAAGGACCTCGAAAACATCCTGGAGGTGGGAGCATCGTACACAACTGAGCTGCAGCTGGTGGTAAAGGAAATGTACCTCCTGAACACAACAAAAATTTGAATACTTTAACATCTTTCCGATCACTTATTGTTATGAATTTTACCGATTTCAAGTTGTTTCTTATGAATATAAAAATTATTGATGCTCAGATTATGAACTAAATTTTTATAACAAACCTGAAACAGGATGCTCTCCAGGTAATGGATTAACCTTTGGCTTATATGGAATCATTTGAGAAATATCTGGTTTTGGTAGAGCTGCTATAACTTCTTCAGTGTCTGCAGGTCTTGGTAATGGACCTACGTTACTTCTGCTTAAGCTTGAAACTGCGATATATCCAATTGACCTCAACTCCATTGGTGAACAAGGATAAAGATCCAGAAATTTATATCTATCAACTAACTGAGCAGTTTCCTTGCCTTCGAATTCTTTAATCTGTCATGAATGATTTCAAAGTTCCAATATTATTATTTGATTATGTAACTTTTTTTTATCGATTAAAGAAAAAAATATAACATATTTACCTTTTCTAATACTGCACTCCGTCTTTTTTCCACTTTAACAATACTTGCTAAGTCACCTATATTTGATTCAAACTCCAAAAAACGGTTCCAAATATCACTATAATAAATTTTAGTATTAATTAATATTGGTGTAAAAAAATAAAAACTATATATCCTCCAGAACAAATTGATCCTTGAACACTTACACTGATTTTTCCGGTTCTAGACTGCCGGAAGATAAAACTCTCTCGAATAATACTCGGGTATTGTTGTCTTCTGCAATGAAGATATAATTTTTTAATAATCTAATGTTACAAATATTACATTTTTTTTCATTCCTCAGTATTCCTTTATTTAATTAAAAGATCTAAATACGATTGAAATGAATAATTTATTGTCATGTCATAATTTTTACCATTTAAATGCGATAAATAGTCAATATAGCATAGAATATAGTCAGGATTATCGCCAAATTTTTTCAACCCCAACTCAAAAATACGAAATGCAATATTTTTATCTTTGGTACAATAATATTCCATTAATGCTGCTGCTACATAAACATGATGTCGACATCGTGAATCTTCTCTTGCTCGTTTAAATACTGTTCTTGCTGATTTTATTCCTTCTGCTCTTCTAGCAAATTTCATGTATTGTACATAAGCCTAAAATGAAATTTATAAATTATTTATGCTTAAAATAATCTTTTATCATATTATTAACAATCCATGCTACATAAAAACTTCTTTACCAATGTAGGATCAATATCAGGGATGTCAAGAAATTTTTTATAAATTTGATGGACTTTTTCGTATTTCACTCGCCCTTCTTCAAAATCCGCATGAGCAAAATAAAGCAACATATTTTTTGATAGAAGAGTATTAGTAGCTCGTTCAAACATCGTAGCTGCTTCATCACTCAAATTTTTAGCAGCGTTCACATCTCCTTTCTCTGTAAGAATTTTTGAACTCAATTCTAAAAAGTGAGCTGCTTGATGCCAAACAGCTGGATGATGACCAAGGCATAATAAACACTGTTCAATCGCAAACATGACTCTTTTAGCAACTAGAGATGTGTCTTCAGTTCTCAACGGATTACTCCGTTCCCACGCAATGTATTTTTTCCACAATTCAACCTGTTAATATAATAAATAATAAGCTAAATTAATAATTTCTGTTTTATAATGATAAAAATATATTGTGCCATATCATAAATATATTTCAGCAAAATCAGCTGGATTTTTTAACCTGTTTGATTTCTTCTGGATGTCCAGTTGGTGGTACACTAGGTGCACTCCTATTTAATCCTCGTGTAACTGCCTCTAACTCTTTAGCAACTCGCCTCGCATTCATGTAATCTCGAGACCTTTCGATGGCCATTTTCTCTGCAATTATTGGATTAATATTTTGTTCAAAAGCCATATAATCTTTCCAAAGTTGTTCCATATTAATCATTGGATTAATAACTCCTCGTTGGTATACCTAAAATATGAAACAGTTACAACTCTCACTGAATTATTGCCAAATTTTGTTCTGAATGTTTAATTGTATTTTCTAGTCAATAATCAAGAACCTAATATTGATCTTGAATAAAAATATACCTTACGGACGGCGCTAATTTTCTGGTTCTCTGCATATGAACCTACAGCTTCTACACTTTTTAAGAAAGTAACATAATCATTCCAAATACTGTAAGAATGAATATCCATCCCGATTTTATCCAAAGCAAAATCGTAGGCTTGAGCCATCTTCTCTCTATAAAAATATTATTACCATTGTAGTTATAAATAATTAAAAAAATATTAGGGAAAATGATTTAGATGTATGGAGTTAGGCTTTTTTTTAATTAAAATTTAACAATGTCTTTATAAAAATTTACGATAATGATGGAGAGTTTCACAATGCATTCGGAAATATAAGCTTAATTAATTTAGAAAATATTTTTGAATAAATAATTGATCAATTCTAGATCGTACAATCAACTTTTGAATGAACTTACTTATAAGTTGTAAGGCTGGCTTTGGTTTCTTTTACGTAAGAAAGATACAATTTCCACAATTCTATATTCAAGATTTTCATTAGGCATCTTTGGAAAAGCTGTTAGGAAACAAAAAAATATACAAAATTGCAAAAGTTCTAGAAATTTATTTTATTACTACGGTAAAGTAAATTTGTTTACTATAAAATAAAGTACTATCGAAACTTTTATTGTGCTTCCAAATCATCAGAAATTGAAGTACAACATTCTTACTTATTTACTTACGTTTAGAATGAAATTGAAAGAAAAAATTTGATTGAATAACCAAATAACTATAATAAAAATTATTTATATGATAAATAAATAAGACCATTCTAGAAAGATAATAAATATATTTGAATTTATTTATTTTTAATTGTAACAATATACAAAATAAAATTATTTTTTATTATTGATAATAAAAATAATTCGGGTGAAATAATGATGCACAAAAGCATTGAAAAAATGTATTTATTTCATAAAATAATTATGTAAATAAATTCGCTTTTAGAACTTTAGTATTTCATTCAAATATACGTTAGTAAAAATTTAATTCATCAATTTCGATGTAGAGGTAAATAATTTGATTCTCTTTAAATTGAACAAGTTTTTATTTGATTTTTTAATTATCAATGAATATGTTTCAATTCAAAAAAAAAAGAATGTGATTTAAATAATTTGAGTAAAATTACATAATTAATTAGTTGTCAAAATAATAAAAAATTTATGCAAAATATATAAATATTACGGAATTGGGTTTGATCTAAAATAACTGTTGATGACAAAAATCACCAGACTCTTGATAGTACGATGAAAAAGAGTAATTAAAATTCTTCGACCACGATGATAAAGATGTAATACACTCATATACAAATCAAATAAAAAAAACTATATATTGAAATGAAACCAAGATAGGAACTTAGTTTTCTTTATTAATAATTGAATCCTATTGATAAACCAGTATCCACACGCAAATGAAATGGAAAGATTGAAAAATTGATTTTCATATGACCAATCACTTTATTCTAGGAAGGAATACAAGGCTGAAACATTCAGAAAGTTATCTTCTTTGGAATTTAAAAATCACGTTTGATATTTCTATAATGTTCAAATGTTTTTATCAAAAAATATACGTTTAATTTAAAAGTATTCATCAAGTAACAACTCCAAAGAAATTAACCTCCCAAATGCATTAAAAGATTATCAACAATCAATGAAATAAGTGGCTTGTGGTCAAGATAAATTTTTTATTCACCTTACACAGAATGTAAAGTGCTTAAAATCACAAATACGGTTGTTCTATAATCAATGCTAGGAATAGCTGTAAACTATGATTTATATTTTTATTTATTTATAATTTTAATATGAACTTCGAGCATTTATTTATTAATAAATAAATTATTTTATAGTCTTTATTGTTTAATTAAAGAAAATAAAATAGTTGAAAGATTTATTTAATCAATCAACCATCTATCAATTAAGTTTGCTATTCGCATAAATAATTATTTGAAATCGTAGTAAATATTTAATTTGAGAAAAATATCTTTAATTAAACAATAACTGAACTAAACATACATATCACTAAAATTTATTAAAACTCTATGGATTTCATTAGTAATTTGTATTTATAGAGTAAACATACCTTCTCCACTTTTTCAAAGTTGCGCATTTTCATCTGAAAAAATCGTAGAAAAGTAGAAAAAAACTATTAATACTTTTTTTGAAATGATAGTTTGGAATTTATAAATAAAATAATCATTTATGTGTTTAATATTTTTATTTTCGGTGTTTAGTAATTGAAATACCTCTTGTTCAATGTAAATTTTCCAATAACGTCCAGCGGAAGGAAAAACCGTTACAAGTTGTTCAAAGACCGGTCGAACTTCGGTAATAGGTCTGTTTTGTGCTTCTCTGATTAGAATACTCCATGCTTCTAAATCGTAAGGTGATTCATCAACAGTCTTCTGTGCACGTTGGAGTTTTTCATTACCCCAATCCTATTGAAAGTAATACAATTTTATTGACGCTTATTTTTTATAAAAAAGAATAACGATAATCATTGATTATTAAATAAATATCAACATCTGTACACAGATGAATAACATCAACTTACAAATTCTGTTTTCTCTTCTGCCATTGTGTATTTTGTGAGTTTAATAACAGTCAAAAACTATTTTATATCCTATCACAACACCTATTGAATGGATAAAATAGATAAAATTAAATGAACACAACTGAAAATTAAGTAAAATCCTATTTAGAAGCACATTTGTATGAAAATAAGGGATACTAGAAAATGAGAAAAGTATCAAAAACTTGATACATAGTAAATAAGCCTCTCAACAAAGAAATAGCCTAAAATTTTACAAAACTTGTGAATACTAACGACGTGTAGCAATTGCAATTCTATAGTTCGCCCCTTCAAGTACAGTTTATCTGCACATATAAATTCTGTGATAGTGTAGAATTCTACTTCAGCGCCCTCTGATCAAACGCCATGCATTGTTAGTCAAAATATGCGTGTCTTATAGTATTTTTTGCTCGGGCGTTGTAGGCAGTGTCCACAACTTACACACTGTCGATAACTTACCCATAAACTCTGGTGATACATTTAAAACAAAATATCGACTTTATCGATACGTTTTGACCTACATTCTCATCAACCAGCTGATTTTCGACGGAAGTTGTAAAACTTTGCGGGTCCACTGTCAAAACTGTTTATAATCATTAAATTACAAATACAAGCTGCGGTTTTATTATAACCTGAATAATTAGAAGATAATAATGTCTGGAAAAAATCTAAGTAAACAGGAAAAGAACGGAGGTAGGAATAATCAATAGATATATTCTTTTATTCTATTAAAATTTTTATAATGTTTGAAGGTTAGAATTCATGAAGTATCAGTCAATGTAAAAAAATATAAATAATGAATTAAATAATTAATAATATGGTAATTCATTATGATTTTTTTAGACGTTGTGGCGTACAGTGAAGCAGCAGTCAGAAATAATGCAGCAGTGGTAGAATATTGTAGAATATCAATGGCAGCATTATCCGGTAGTACTGCAGGTTTACTTGGATTGACTGGATTTTATGGTTTTGGATTCTATATTTTTGCTGTCATAAGTTTATGGGTATATTTTTGATATTTATATTATGATTTATTTTTTAATTCTGATATCTCAGAAATATTTAACTTAATACTAAAAATACTCAACAAATATTCAACAGAAAAACATAAGCAATAGGCTGTAGAATATTTTTGGCAACTTTTTCCCTAATTATTACAATGAATGACTAGTTATTTTGCAATTAGTAAGATGATTTTAAAAAAAAATTGAAATTCATCAGACATGCATGAACTTTTCTATCACTTTTTTTCAATTGTTCACTGCTGATTCATCTTTACATTATTTATTCTATCATGCCACATTGATTATTCTATTATTCATTCATTCGGTTTAGTATACTTTCCTTGATAAACATAATTCATAAAAAAAAATTAACTCTTCACTTAATTTGGCGGAATTGCTTATCATTTTTATTTGTAGAATATTTTTAATAATTATTATTATTTTTAGGCAATGCTATTACTCAAAGCAAGTGGTAATTGGAGGCAATACTTCATTAGTCGATATAGTTTACTGACTAATGGTTTCTTTGGTGGTTTATTTGTATCCTTATCAAAATTTATAGTTTCACTTAATTACTGCTCAAATATGCTAATTATATTTAAAATGTGAAATTTTTTATCAAAAATTTTTCCTTGACACAAAGTATTTGTGATGGTAATAATGCAGACATATGTTCTATTCTGGACGTATCCTTTTTAAAAATTAATTAATTATTTTAAATAAAAAGAAACTTTCGAGGTTTCAACAGTTTATAATATAATTTTCAAATTTTGAATGAAAATGAAGAGAATTAACACACAACTAAAATTATTTTTTCGATAATATTAAACAATTTTTATTCCTTAATTATGAAAATAGATTCCTGTACGGTATGGTACATGTTTATTGAGTGTTGGGAATTTTGTAGTTAGTTAATTCACCCGAATGAAGAGGAGAAAACGAACACAATATTTGCTGTGAGTGATTTTGAAATTTCCCATGTTTTTAATTACAAATTTTAAATGGATTATACTAGAAGACTATCAACTCTATTTACAAACTGTTTGAAAAATTCAAGTGGTCACTGTTTTCCTATTCTAAACTAAAAGTTGATTCAATGAAAAATTAGGTTATAGATGTATATCATAAAAATATAACTATAAATAATTTATTATTAGATTTAAAAAAAGAGCTGAAAAGTATCGTCAAAGCATTTAAAGAATTATTTTATATCTAGATAGATTAGTATCATTCGCGTTGAAAGTTTGTACTTTACATGCTCCTGTATCTAAGACATAAACTAAATGAATAAATATTATTGTTTGGATAAGTGAACATGGCAGCTTCATTATTGAATACATCAATAAAAAAATACAAATTTTTTGTATTACATAACTTGGATCCGCGTAAGCGACTAAACTTATAGGAATATAATTACATGTTGGTTTCTGATATATCTGATAGTTGAACTAAACATGAGTCTTTACGCTTTGGACTACCCTCAATATCCTCAGAATATTTATTTTGAGACTGACCTGTCTCTAAAACATCAATTCTTTGCATTTCGTCTAACTTATCAAGTTCACGTTTACTGAGGTGATATACTATTCCAGCTCCAAATCCATCACCAAGTACATTTACAGAAGTTCTTAATCGATCTCTGTCAATAACAAAATGAATTTTAAAAATAACATCATGAATGAAAATGAAAAAAGAAAGAATTTAAAACACTCACAGTAACCAATCAACTGCAAAGAGAAGAGGAACATTATCAGTTGGTAACCCTAAAGCAGCTAGGACTAATAATATTGTAACTAAAGCAGAACTAGGAATGCTAGCTGCTCCAATACTTGCTAAAGTAGCAGTCAAGCTAGAAAATTGAATGAAATTGATAAATTAAACATTTTTGAATATTAAATAAATTTATAAAGAAAATTAGTATGCACTTTTTGTGACATTTTATATCATTCAAGTCAATTTAGACAAATGAAATCAACAAAAAGTGGTTTTAAATAATGTAAGAAAATATTTTGGTATAGAAATAGATGTATGGTTTTCGTGAAATTATGATTAAACGTTAATTTTTAGCTCAAAATGTCTTTTATTATTATAACTATTGAAAATATTAATAAATTTACCTGACTGTTATAACGTCACCAAATCCCAAATTTATTCCATTCATTTGAGCAATAAAAATAGCTGCAATAGCTTCATACAAAGCAGTTCCGTCCATATTAACTGTAGCCCCCACAGACACAACGAACCTTGTAACTCGGGGATCAACTTTATTATTTTCTTCTAAACATCGGAAAGTAATCGGCAACGTAACCGCACTGTAATCATTCAATTTTTGTATTCTTCCAGATATTTTTTAGCAATGAAATTGTACCTGGAAGCCGTGGCAGCTGCTGTAATCCAAGCTGGAAGCATTCCTTTGAAATATGTCGCTGGATTACGTCGAGTTATTACCCAAAAAATCGTAGGAAGAGTAATCACACCATGTATTAATAATCCTAAAGTCACTGTTATTATATAAAAACCTAACATTTTTGCTGTTATCATTATATCAGCAATAGACATGACTTTGCCAGCAATAAGACACATTAAACCAAATGGAGAATACCTAGAACAAGAAATTAACTATTGGATTATTTAAATGTTTTATGAAGCTTATTTCAATTTATGCAATTTTTAAAAAATAATATTACCAAAGAATAACAATACTAAGAATTTTCATAGTTATTTCATTGAGTGCATTGAAAAATTCAACCATGATCTGCGCTTTTGGACCTAATTGACCAACAATGATTCCAAAAGATATGCAGAAAACAATTAATCCCATAACATTCGTTCCATCTCTGTAAATTAATGAATGCTCAAAAATATAGTCGACTTTATTTTTTTTTGCAACGGAAACGACTGGCTTCTTCACGTAGGTTGTTTGAACTGATTGAAAACTAGCTTGGACCAGATTATCCGGCACCATGTTTCTAAAAAGTAAATAAAAAATTTTGAGTTGAATAGTTAAAAAATTAAAAGTAATTCGTTTAAACACCTTCCAATATCTAAAATAGCATCTAAAGTAGAAACTCTTGATGCCTCTGGAGGTGATGCTGGTACTGGAACAGCGACAGAATTTTTAATTCTTGGATCTCCTGGATGAATCAATAGAACTACAGCGATTCCAACAATGGCAGCTAAAAGTGTTGTGACAATGTAGAAGGAAAAGGCTCTAAATCCCATCTTTCCTGAACTTTTTGCATCCATTTGGGCCATACCTTCAATTTGAAAATGAATAATTATTTATTGCTAATTATTATTTTTAGATTAAATCAAATCTGAATATAAAATTCATTTAGTGTTGGATGTTTTTGTTATAATAAAATTTGTTTTGACGCTAATTTTTAATTTAACCACATTAATACACAAGTCTTAAAAGTAGGACAGAGCTTCATGTAAGTACAATAAATAATAGCCCGACAGAATTAGTACTTTTAATTAGTAGGTTCACCCTAGATGTTGAATTACATCGATCTAGATTTCACAATATTTATCACTTTTATTTAAATTCGCTCTAAGTTATATAAACAATTTAAAGTCTAAGTTGAAATAACATTCTTTTGGAAAAATTTGATATGTTGGTATATTTTAGAATGATACAGTAGAATCAAGATACTTACCACTGATTAAAGAAGAAATAATCAGAGGAAGAATAAACATTTTCAATAGACGCATCAAAATCTCTCCAGGATAGCTTATGAGCATGATACTTTGCGATGAAAAATCACCCAAACGTCCAAGTAAACCTAGACCAACTCCTGCCATAACTCCACCAATTGTCAGAAACAATAACGTATTTGATTTTATCCAATTAGGAAGCTAAAAAAAATTATAAATTAAATTTTAATAATTGAGTTATTTAAATTTTAATCAATCAATTTAATAACATAAATAAGTATCAAAATGTACCCTTATATTTTTCTGCGATTTTGACCTTTTAGATGATACATTTTCTGGAGTCATTTTATATTCTACAGCATCAGTTTTTAAGCTGAAAGCAATTTCCGATGTAATTAATTTTTTTTTTTAAATATATAGTTTGTTAGATTAAGATAGTATTTACATATCATCTGGCTTAGAACTTGGAACCGCATTACCACGAAGAACGGCTACTGCTCCAGATATTCTTTCTTTCAACGACATTCTGGTATTTCTTGACGAAGTTCTTATTATGATATAAAAAAAGGTAAATTGATACGTGTCATTTACTATCAAATAATCATACCAGAACTGTAAATCATCAGTTTGCGATCACACTCTGTAACACAAAATTGAAGAAATTTATTTTTCTTAATAGTTAAGCAAACGTTGCAACAATAAATTCAGCATACACTCACTCATGATTGAAATTAATTATTCTTAGTATCACAAGACGCAATTTAAAGATACACCACAATTTAGCATTATCAAATTATCAAGAAACAATTAAATAAGTAATCAAGTGACAGATTTAAGTTAGACTTTGGTAGACAAAAATATCACACTGTTTGGGTCTTCCATCAACTAACTAATGTTCTTCACGCAGGAAGCTGATGTGAGTGAAGAGAATAGGGAGTTATTTAGATTCCATGATGAGGTCAACGAAGAAGAGAAGGGACTCACAGGAAGAGGTCACTCATCAGATTACTTTATCAATCAGGGCTAGTGTCCAACATTTAAATAAAAAAGTCGACCTTGCTTAAATCATATGTATGTACTCTACATGTCATTAAATAATTACCAATCATTTCAATCGAACTGGTTGCATTTTTCATGGACACTATTCATAAATTCAGAGGCATAGTGTTAGTCTCTTGTTGTTGAGGTGTAACTTTAAATGGCATGATTTTGTGTAATTGAATGATTGCAGACAATAACTAAATATAATAGACTTGTTCAACCTATTGAAAATTAGCATTGAGTAAATTATGTTGAATATTTTAATCAAATATTCCACTAAGAGCTTCACAGAATATTGCAGAATATTGTATTGGAAAATAGGATGGCATTACAGACAGTGTAGATTGAGGAATCATTTATTTAAAGTAGGAATAATCATAAAATAATTTAACTTCTGTTTATAAATGATAGACTGGTATGAATTGAACAAGAGGAATGATATTAAAAAAGATCACGTCACTTCTGTTTATACAGATTTATTATTATACAACAAATCTTCATTGACGTAATTCACATATGTTATTTAAATAAATAATTCCCATTTATTATACTTGTAATACTTCATTTATCATATCAAAATAAGAATAAAAGAAATCGACCTCTCAGAAGGTATATATTGTAGGTTTACTTGAATTAGTAGCTAATGAAAGATTTTTATGACTGATATATTCTTCAATTCCCTTAGAATAATTAATAATATTAATTAGTGATCCTTCTTGAGTAACATTCTTTTCGCCAATTGAAAGAATTATCTCTATTATATAAGATAATATAATAATTCTTAAATTAAAAGTTCCTATCCCAGCTAAAAGGTATTTCTCAGGATTCGTTTGATCTTGACAAATCAAAGGACTTCCCATGAAATCCTGAAATTGAGATAAACAAAAAATCTGAATTAAAAAACAATCATTTTTTTAAAAAGATGAATTAAATAAAACGATGACTTACCAAAAAATTTTGATCCTTAATTTTATCAGTTATTATTTGGGAATGAAACTTTCGTGAAATAATAAAATCTCTGTCAGTTATTAATTGTTTTGGATTTAAGCTATTCACATTTAGATGTCCATTATTAAATGACGTATCATATTTAACTGTTACTAATTCTAAAATTCAAGCATGAATATAAATAATGGTCAGTATTAAGCCTTAAAAAATTAAATTTTATGAAAACAAAAGATTTTTGATTTAACTTACCCCTTACTGGGAAATCTCTGCTTACTTCCCGCATCCATCTGAGTAAAGAACAATTGTTTTGATTGATGTTATTAACGTCACTCGCTATTTTAATAACATCCACCAGAAAAGGGTTCTCTAAAATTAAAAAAACATAATCATTTTTTCCATAATTGTGAATTGAATGTTCATTTCCAATTTCTATAACTCTTCTTTCAATACAATTTGATAGGACCCATGAATTAGCGATAGAACAGTTTGTTTGAATCACTAAATCTTGTGAAGAAAATCTGAAATAGAGGACCTTTAAATAACTATTTTAAAATAACTCATATTTCTATAATTTTTTGTCCATACCCTTGAATCGTTAATGCCGAGGTGATTACAATTCGTGGATGAATGAGAGCTCCATAGCCTAACTCTGTCGAAAAATTCCACTATTTTATTGACATCAATTATTAAGACATATTTTAATTGATGAGACAATATTTATTATTACGATTGGTAAAATTTTTCATGCAAAATAAAAGTAATGATATCAAATTATACTCACTAAAAACAGGTTCATCTATATTTTTGATCACCACTAGCCATGAAAATATTTGTAGATTGTCTGAAGGATAAGTATCCATGTATTTGAAAGTGTAAGGTGAAGAATTACAACATTCTGACCATTGAAAAAGAAATAACATTAAAAAAAAATTACAAAGCATATTTAGTTACTAATTTAACGAACTTATCGAACATTCTCATATGACACTAGTTAACTGAATGTTTTTTACTAGATCGAGCAGGTTTTATTCTTTTCAAAATAGAAAATAAATTTATATTCTAAAATGTATAAATTACAATATTTATACAACTGTACCATATTCTATTAATGATTGAGTTTTGCTGTATAATGTACATAAAAAGCAGATAATAATAAGATATAATGTTAATAATATGTCTATACTTGCTGAATAAACGACTTTAATATGATTAAAATTTTATTTTTTCAACACATTATCACAATTTGAGAATGAACATTTAGTTCACATGGTTAAATTTAAGAATTATACTTACTGTACGTGCAATCAGTCACATCCATCCGCATTTATTGAGGTCTTGTCATTTAGCCGATAAATCTTGTCTCGATGCATTTGAACTACTTATTTCATTTTTAATCATCCACATGATTGTATTGTTTCATTGTATCATGTCTTGAATTTCCAAGTAATGAGACTCTGAATAAACTTTTCAAGAGTAAATTATAATATAATAAATATCTAATGAACACAATCATCTAATAAATTTGTAACTGTGCGTAAAACCTGTACAGATGTGTCAGTCAAAAAGTAAATAAGAGAGAATATTTCATGTACTTAAAAAATACTTTGAACTATAAATACTTTCATCGTGGGATTTTATCCTTCAAATAACTTTACTTTATAATGTCTCTAGTGTGTTACAAATAACTCTACTGAGTTTGCTTCATTTGATGATAAAACACATGCAGTAGCCATTTTTTTTTTGGTTATAACTTGATAAGACCATTGAATTATAGACAGCAGTATACATATATTTCATTAATTTGAATGAACTCGATCAGGGCCAAGGAAAAACCAGGGTGGGTGAAATACCCTGCTTACTGTCTTCAGACCGACAAACGTGCGGCTCGATTGCTCGAAATAGCTGAGAGCCACTTGGTCTACAACTCCCGTCTTTCTTCTCTCATGCTTCCATGCTAGAGACACCTCCGTGGTATCCGCGGAAATTTTGGTTGGGCTATTTTTCGGCCAGGCAGAGAACTCTCACAATCATTGTTTTCATTAGAAGACGTTTAAATTATTAAAAAAAAAAGATAAAAAAATGAATTGAAACAGAATTATCGAGAGATAGTAGTGAAAATGTCTTTTAGAACAAATTAGTGCTATATAAGTGTTGAAAAGGTATTTTGGTTAAGTTAAAAAGATTTTAAAAATTCCTCAGGCAAAAAATGAGTGTTGTGTGTGGTTTCATTAACTTTGAAGTTATTTTTTTAAAAAAAAAACGTGATGAGAGAACAAATTAAATGTGTTTTAATGAAGTAAATAAATTTATTACACTGTGCAAATTTTTTGTTCACTAATGATTGAGCTTTTTATTATTTTTTTTAAATGTTTTTTTTATTTCATAATGTGATTTTCTGATTAATCATAACATAATTAAAAGTTTGTTTGCCTGAGAGAATTCTAGTCGTTTTGAAACTCTGACGAGAGCTTCGGAAGTACCGAAAATAGATTTGTTACAGACCCACATCAGTGATTCATTTCATTTAATACCTCAGTATGAACGTTGTAAATATATTAACAATTTATTAACTAATTTTCAATGACTGCTTATTAAAATAATCTTCAGTAATTCTGGTTTTTCATTTTATTAATAGTCCATTCTCAGCTAAAATAATATCAATTATTGAAGAGTTAACTCAATAATCAGAATTAATTTTCGACTCTAAATATATAACTAACGGAGATTGGTTCTAAATTGATGAGATTCTTAATTAATTACTACAAGTTTGCTGACAATCTATCAGCAATTAAGCTGAATTCATTATAAAAAAAATTTTAATGTACAAAGATTTGTTTTTAAAAAATCCATTGTTCGAAATAAAATAAACAGTTGAACATGTGACTTTGACTTTGTCTCAATATAAATGGAAATAGTTATGTCTACCATCACATGTTATCGCTCTATTAAAAAGCACCATCTACAACTTAATACATAGTTGATGTTTGTTAATTGGAGTAGCAGGAAAATGTTCCAAGTGTTTTAGTAATTAAAAAAACATGAAAAATGTTTAAAAATAAATTAATCTGATCATTAAGTTTTTCTGAAGCTGATCAAGAGATTTTTCATTATAAATTATTATTTTTATATCAACGACTATTGTTTACTTAGTATTTTTAATTCAATTGACATTTTGAATTTCATTAAATATTCAAAGTAACCTGCTATCTATAATTATTCATAATCATTTAATATTTACAACTGAGTACATACTAAAAACACAAGGCAAGTAAAAGAATGCTCTTTTTTTTTTTTTAATTGCATGCTTGCACTTAACTTTGGCAGAATGCCAACAAGTCGATATAATAGTTCTCACGTTGCGTTTTATTGCGTAAAACAGGAAGTGTCAGCAAAGAAGAAGCCGGTGGGTCGGTGTGTAAGCGAAGGAAATTGGCTACAAGTGAGAATATCTACATAGTGTATTCGATTTTCCGACAATTTTCTTTATCCACTTCAGAGGAAGTTTTGGTGACTACCAACAAACCGAGTGAACGAATAAAAGGGTAAGAATATATAACATTGAAACGCCTGCGCAGGAATAGTGGAGTAAAGAAGGGGTAGAATTTGCAAGAGAAAATTTACAACGATCTCATTCCTCCTATCCAATAGAAACCCTATTCACTGGGAAATTCCGCAGCATATCTCGTCAGTCGGTCAAAAGACGTCTAAACGCGAGCAAGGCTTCGCACAAGTGGCTGCAAAACATGCGGACATGCGGTTGGTTTACGTGACTCGTGTCCAGTAGTGTTATTGTAATTATTGGATATCATACGCTGAAGATTTTAAAATAATTGTGAACAGTGGAGGGAGATCAAGGAGAAGGAAATAAAGTTAGACGTCGGCAGTTCCTGAAGGATTTTTAAACTCCAAGGATGGCTGACAGTGAGGGTGGATCCGAGCAGGATGATGTATCATTTCTTCGTACGGTAAGTTGTTTATATAAATGTTGATTTCATTTTCTATCATTGTTGTAACCTTTCACACTAACTCCCGTTTCTTTTTACAGTTTTTTAAATGAATAAAACAATGAGAGATTATTTTGATTGGATTTATGTAACAAATTAATCAACACTAAAAGGATACTCATTTTTAGAATGAAAAATATTTTTAAATAGCATTTAGGTTACATAGAGCTTTTTTTTTCGAAAAGCATTACTATTTATATTTTATGGAATTTTTTTTATAACTTTCCATTTAAAAATAAAAAATAGGGCTCATCGGGTATTTACTCACATCATAATTTCTACTGTTTTATTTCTATCTTTGAGCAGATAGTGAATTAAATTAGAACTATTTAAAATATCTAGAGTAGTTTTTTAGTCAAAGAAGAAAAGAAACCCAGTTGAAATTTTCATGAAAAATAAAGTCGATGAGTACTTTTAAAGCAAATAATTTTTTATTCTAGTTTAAAATGATAAAATAAAACGTGAGGTCTGTCAGTTCACCGAAAGTTGAATAAAGTAAACAAAACTGAGCATGAATTGAATGACTGTTAAACAAAAGTAAATAATTAAAATTATAATCACAAAATGACAACTAATTACACTGAAATCAATGAATAATAATAACAAAAATATAATCAATATTATTGTATGAATTCAACGTTGCAACTACGTTTGAAAAACACAAGAATGTTTACTAAACTCACATAACTGTTTCTCAAAACATAAGTCAATTTATAATAAACACAAAATTTATTAAATTCAAATAGTTTAGTACTCTTTAATAAGAATTATTTAATAATACTATTTGTTCATGAGAAATCAAAAATCAATATAACAACTCATAATATTTATACACATTGTTTCATTCAATACTGTTTTTTCATAATTTATTTATTTCATGCTGATATTTAAATTTGATTAACTCCTCACACGATAGAAGGTCTAGACAATTCAATCATTGTGATAATGACATATTCAACAAAAGGAAGATTAAAAGTGAAGATGTCATGATAAAATTCATAAATATAAACAAAATGCAAAAAACTGATCAGTATTAATGTGAAAATACGCGGAAGCCTTTCAGCGTATTGTGATGACCGTGACCCTTGGTGTAAAAAAGAGAATTATCAGCTCGACCCAGTCTTTCATTTTTTTCAAGGTGCAATATGGGACAATGCACACAATCATGTGTAATCATTTCTATTTGTGGCTCTTTTGTCTTATTTTTGTGTTACTGACAGATCCTGTATCACCCTTAGTTTGGTTTTTGCTCAAGATAGAATAGGGAAAATATATATCGACCCTTAAAGAAAGATGATATGGAGGTACATGCATGACAGGAGTAGAGAGAGCGATGTATACATCATTGATTATGAGGGCTAACTTTTTATAGAAGACAGATATTTTTTATCTGACGTAAACATATCGGAGATTTTATATAAACTGTATTTTATTTATTTTATTTTACTCTTTCTACATTATATTTTACATGTTCTCCATTTTATTTTTTTATCCATGTAGCTTACGTGGTATTTTTTATTATCGCAATTAGTCTTTTAATACATTTTTTATTTAATAATGTCCAAATAAAAATATACCAATGCTTGTTTCATTTATATAACATATTTTTGATGATTTTTTAAAGCCAAAATTAACTAAAGTCACCAAAATTAATTACAATGATCACAACCAGTTAATTAATTAACTTAATTATGCGTCTGGATGATAAAAAATAATTGGAGTAATTTGGATGTTAAAGAATTGGTAGTTGTAACATTTTTCTACTCTTTACTTGTTGTGTCTGTTTATGGACTCACTTATCTTGCGTATGTAGGATCGTAAATAGCATTAAAAGGGCTATAAAGTGTAACACACTAGTTACTACAGAGCTTCTTTAGCTTGATTCATTATCTTCTTAACAATATAAGTAATTACTATTTTTACAATTGATACAAATTTTTAAAATTTTAAATTACAATCGAATCTAATATGTTTACCAATTAAAAATTAAATTTCGGTTATGTAAAATGCTTTTTAATTTATTCATAAACAAATCTTATTACACTCTTTTATTGGATCTCGATGGAAACTCTCGTTTTAGATATGAAAAAAACTCACATAAAATATTCAAGCACGTACACACGCTTTAACTTTTCTATTGATGTGCTTCGAAAGTTACTGAACTGTTTTTTCAAAGAGTTATGACTATTCAAAGATAAAAATTCGATTTCTACAAGTCAATAACTCATAAAGCAATGAATAAAAAAGCAAATTAAAGAGGAAAGTTTATTATTCAGTATATTTTTACATTGGCTTTGTGATTTGACTTTAATCCAATACTGTGCTTCAACACAGAAAACATTCCATCTGAAGCTTCAACAAATACTTCAATGATTACTTTTGAAATGTGATTTAAATTTGAACTATGAAAACCTGATCCTATGAGCTTCTATTCAATTTATCATAATAAAATATAAAATTAACAAAAAAGTAGACAATCCAGTTTGTTAAATTCAATACAGAATAAATTGATCGCGTCAATTACGTTCAACTTCATCAACACTACCTTTGCAGTCTATTTTCAATATTTAATTTTGTCTATTTGTCTATGAAATTATTTATTAGAATTCTTTATACTAGTTTCTATGATGATAAATAATAAATAAGAAGAATAATCCTACCAATTTATAACTTTCATTTTACTATTCAATGAGTTATAGAACATGCATAGCCAATTTACCTACATCAATATCTAGACCAGCACCCTGTTTTGCTAATGATATACGTTATCCAATAAATTCATGAATGAAATATTTATATTCAAGAGATGCTCCATTATTTTTACTCCGTCTTTTTTCCCTTTTTTTTATTTTTCGCCAACATTCTTGTGCTTTGACTCCTCCTTGCTTTGTTGACATATTCTTCTTTCTCTTTAGCTGACATATTCTTCCAGATTTTTCCTGCTTTTTGAGCCACTTCAGCAACACATAACGTTCGATTTTTAGAATACATTTCCAGATAAAATATGATAAAAGGATTGGTCAGACGTCGTTCTTTCTTCTTTCTTCCTCTTTTTCCTCCTCCTGTTGATACTTTCAATTCCTTTTCTTTTTTCATCTTTTTATTCCGCCGTCGTTGTTTTGGTTCTGAAGCAGGTTTACATGTACATCTTCCTGAACTTGAAAGTGTTGAAGATTTTTCCGGCTGTTGCTTCTTAGATTCTTTTTTCTTTTGCTCCTGTTTGTTAGAATCTTGCTTTTTTGAATCTGGCTTTGATGAAGAAAAAAAACCTTCAGTTTCTACATTTGTTGGACCTTCATCTATAATTTCCCTGCGCAAAAATAAACCGTCAAAATGTTAAAATGAAATAATATTGCTTTTATTTATAATGAAATTATTTTAATAATTAATTATAAATAATAAATTCTTTAGAAAGACTAAATATTTATGCATTTAATTAAAATTAATTAAAAATTAATTATTGGAAATTATTGATGCCAAATTAATGAACATTATGAATGATTGCCAGCTCGTTAAAGCTTCTATTGTATCTGGAATATTGTCGATATTAATTACAATTGTTCTTACGGTTTAGAACAAATTTTTTTTAAACTTTTATAAAACCAAGCTTTTGAGCTCTAGTTTAGAATATTTTTTTATGACTGGCTCAGTGCCAAAATTCGTTTCGCTTCAAACACATTGTCTCTTGATTTATTCGTGTCTGTCGTCGTCGTTGCTGTAAGCTCGGTTGATTGATCGATCCTATCGGAATGCACTTTCAACATGACCTTGCTTGTTTATTTTTGATCAATTTGAATCCACCGAAGAAGAAAGAATTTAATGTTGTCAATATTAAATAAGGATGATTGATTTGGAAAATCTCGTACGTTTTGCCAATAATTTCTATTGTTATAAATAAACTTGTCATTCTGTAAGCAATCAACTCTACGTTGTTTAAATACTTGACATCATTCATTCTTCATCAATTTGAAAAAATCAATTTCTTTTTCTCTAACTTTTTAAGACTTACTTTAAAAAAAAACTTATCAGTAAATTTTATGTTTTATTAAAGTGATTAGTATATCAATAGATAAATAGATATTATATTGAGTCATTGAATTCATGTATATATTTATGTATGACGATCAAAACTTCGGTGTTCATAGCTAGTTGGAAACTATATAGAAGTAAATAACGTTGCATATTTATCAACAGAACAATAGAATAAGTTTTATACAGCAAAGTAACACGTGTACGTCAGGCTATTTTAAAAGACCTGTGAGTTAAATACTTTCAATATATACAACACCAAGTGCTACATAAAAAGCATGTAAATTTTTCCACCAACGATTAAAAATTGATTGATCAAACAGAAAAGCTTTTATTAGTTTTTAATCCTACATTTAAATGTTTAGATAAACATCTGTGGAGTTAGATTGAATTTTAAAAGAGTTTTCTATCGACTTAATCTACTTTTATAACTTGCAAGAGATTAAGTTAATTAAATAATCTAGTTTCTTTGCATCAACAACTCTTTGCTGAAAAAAATTCTTTAATATTTGAAAATATATAAAAACAAAAAAAAACTAATGATTTTTATAATACTAATAATTTATTTATTTATTTATTTTATTATATATATTAGAAGGTTATAAAAATGACATAATGATAAAGAGATCAATAAAGCAAATAAAAAAGTGAGAAAAAGTTGTAATGAACTTACCCATAATCTCGTCCATCATTTTCATAATCGTTCATTTTAATTTTTTTTCTACAAATTTAGGTAATAAAAGTTCATTAAAAAATACTTGAAAATTTCATCGAGATAGATGTTTGATCTGTACACTCATTGATTTAACGAAACAACTGAACCTTCAAGCTTTTGTATAACCTTGACTCAGATGCATTAATATTATTCACACCCATATTTTAAATAAAATAGAAACATCGATTTTGCATTGGTATTAATATACTAGCCGAGATGAATTAATAGCATCAATGATAAAGATGATATTGATTAATAGTGAATCCATTTTAATTTTCCATTTATTTTTGTGTGATAAATTTTTTAATTAAATGAATTGAAGGTAGCAGTGGACTATTAATGCGTTGAACCTATTGAACATTGTATGAATGAGTGAAACAATGCATCAGTTATTAATCCTTCTATTTTATGTATGTATGTGCAGACAGATTGTCATGTCTTTATTCATATATCCATGTGTGAGTTTGAAATACACACGACATTTTCTAGGAATCTAGGTCAATGCTCGCTCGGACGATTGCTCTTAACCAATGCTCAACATCCATCCCCTTGAGCCTTTTTATCATCGATCACCTATTCACAATGTAATATTTCAATTTTAATATAATTAACTCATCCATTTTCTTTTATCTTTTAATTTACATATTAATTATCATTATCACATGTTTTATAGCGATTATATTATTGGTAGTCCAGAGTGTTGATGATGTTTCATTAGCTTAGAGATACTTTATATTCATCAATTTATGTAAAAATTTAAAAAATCATTTAAATGATTGCTAATTTATTTATTCACCTTATAAATTTTATTGTGAGATAAAACTTCTTAAGTCAATTAATTAATTTTCCTCAAGATGTGAGGTCAGTTACCCTAACTTGGATGGAACTTTACTCATTAACACTCTGAACTACAAGTGGTACATTTAGTTAACTAGAATCAAACAGAATAAGTAAAGTGTCAATGACTAAAAGATTATATGAAATGATAATAAACTACTAACATGATTTATCACACTGTCAGAGCTTCTTACTTACTGAAAATGATCATATTTTAAAACGAATATCACAGTTTTACTTTCGTCTTCCACAAAAGTTTTTCACTTTTTTATGATAGTCATTCTTTATCGTTGACAGCATTATTCTTACTATAGAGAATGCGAAAAAGTCTGTTTTTCTCTTGTACGTCCTTGACCTGCATTTGTATAATCTCGGAAGTTCTCATGTGTTTCATCGCTTCTTACCCTGGTCTCTTTTACCCTGTGTCGTCAATTGAATTATTCACGTTTCACTGTACTCGTTCAGTAGCTCTAACAATCGACCGATATAAATCTTCGTGCATTTTTGAGACAAAGCACATTAATGTCGAGTATAAGTTTTAGCAAATAATTTATGTATTCATTTCGAAACATTCATTTTCATGGCTTCTCTATTAACTTTTATTTCCATTGAAATTTTACGTCGTTCACTCATCATATTTCTGCCATAAACCTAAAAAATAAAAAAAGATGGTATTAAGAAAGTTTTGATTGCATCAGATTAAAAGCTTTTAGATCATTATAGGTTTGATGAAAGAGAAAAGAGAAAGTCTAAGTAGCATAAGCTGCCAAGAAGTCGCGTGTCATCTACGATTTAATAATCTGCTTTCTCTATCATAATGTTCTTTTTCTCTACAAATTATTTATATATGCTGATTTTTCTATGTTAATAATTCAGTAGAAAACTCTTTAAAATTTTTTATACCAATTTCATAACAGTACTTGATAGTTTAATTTATTCACTGATTAAAAATCACATTATATCATTATTACATAAATGTCTACTTATTTTTTGCAGATTAATAATCATGTTATTACATTAAAAAAATTATTTTAAAATTACCAAATGTTGTAATTTTTTCTTTCTTTTTGGAAACAATGAATCAATTAAAGTCAATAATAAGAATAATGCTAGTAAAATAAGTTGTCCATTTTTCTAGACCACCTTACACAAGCTGGCTAAATTCCTTTTGGCACAAGATACTCACACATACCACAAGATTCATTTAAATCTAGATCATATTCATGAAATTTCGCAAGTTCCGTTGTTGTGAATTGCTATGAAACTTACAATAACACAAAGAACAGAATTTCAACATAATATGATTCATATTTTTTCGTTAAATAATCATCTTACATATTCATTGTTATCTAACAATAAAATTTTATAACAAACTTGTAATATTTACGTAAGAGTCAAAAAAAAAGAAAAAAAATAAACAAACCTTTCTTTTAATCTATTTTACAGGAAGATATGGTATGTTTATCCTGCACGGCCACAGGGGAAAGGGTTTGTCTCGCAGCAGAAGGATTTGGTAACCGACACTGCTTCCTCGAAAATATTGCTGACAAGGTAAGTACAATTAATTCCGTTAAAACATCGGTTGCTTTGTAAGCATACCTTTAATTAGCAGATTCGTAGGTAAATAAATAAATTTTACTATGTAGACTTAACAAAAAAAATATAATTACAAATTACGAACACGTGTTGAATAATAATATTTACAGTCACACTCCTCTAATTTCTAAAGCTCGAGAAACGAAGTTCCAAAAACGGTTATTTTCAAAATATCATAATCACTAGCGTCCTGTAGAGGTCATATCAATCAGAAATTCTAACCTACTGGCGTAAAAATGGAAAGGTCAAGATGCTGAATTTGATATTGATGGAAAATTATTTGCTAGATTTTTTTAATAATGAAGAAAAATAGCTTTGAACCGATTTATCATAAAAATGAGATGAATGAATAAAAAACAGATATCTTACATCAAATTCCCATTCAATATGTGTTCTAGGTTACTATATTTATTGATTTATTTGTTGCAGAACATACCACCTGACCTTTCACAATGTGTTTTCGTGATAGAACAAGCTTTATCAGTGCGAGCCCTCCAAGAGTTAGTCACAGCTGCAGGTTCAGAGACGGTAACGTAAATAAATTTCTACCAGTACTATTCGACCATTTTCAACAATGATATATACAATACAATATAATAATTATTTAATTTATACACAATTCTTTATCAATATCGAAGGCTTTTCGGGATGTGGTTATTGTAATAATTGTTTATAATCATAATAATGATTGTCTAAGCTTACATGGTATTGTTATATGAAGCTCACATGGCCTTGTTATTGATACAGTTGTCTAATACTGTGTACGAAATACTTCTGGTTTAATAAATACCATTTTCATTAATTTAATTCAATAATATCAAGTAGTATATGTGATGAAACAGTTACAAGACAATATAGTGCATCGGCGTGTTGCATCCACCCTTTTATACAATCGCATGTGTCAATGTCACCATCTATAGGTCAATGGGACGTACACAATTTGCATCAACACTCCCTTACAAGCCATTCACTTGAGATCCACTTAATTTTTTTTGTTATTTACATGTACATAGAATATTGACAACTATTTAATTAACACTGAGATCAAAATTATACTAATTTATAACTTTCAAAATAAATAAATTCTACAGTTTAATTTTCACAAAACATTATCAATCTTATTGTCTAAGGAAGCTTCTTTTTGCTTCATTGATGTCTTGATTGGTTAATAATTATTTACCTCAGTGTTAATTAATTGAATCATTGAACCCCAAAATCCTGATGACTAAATTAATGATTGCATCTATCAGTAATTTATTTCGATATGTGTTTTTTTCATTTCCAGCAGCAAGACACCTTAGTAAGTATTTGATATGCACGAATTGTATCGTTCCTACTTAAACTCAGCTTGTGTATTTTACGTCTGTTGGTTGTATCTTGTATAATTCAATTTTATCTACCTAATTCCTTTAATTTTTTCTAGTCTATTAGCGCAACTTACCAGACACCTCTGCTTACACACTGTTAGAAGTAGATTATTCTAAATAAAAAATCTACTGATGACATCAATAAAATAATAGACTTATTTTTATATAAAAAATTGATTTTCATTATTCCATTAATCTCTTTTCTTATTGGTAGTACTAATCGACATTAGTCGACATTTTTTGAACTCTATAACGTTTCAAATCGACAAGTAAATTTATCAAGTATTGGGCGAGTATCAGTTATATAATATGAGTACGTCCAATATTTAATTTAAAGCAAACAAGGTGTATTGATTTGATCAATGTCGGATTGGTTATAAGTTAATTGTAGAGGTTATTCACTTTTATTGATTGTTAATAACATTTTTAGGGAAAAGGCACTGGATCAGGTCACCGAACTTTGTTATATGGAAATGCAATTTTACTTAGGCACCAAAACAGTGATATGGTAAATATGAAGTCATTATTAAAGTATTTTTATTTATACTCATGGTACTGTGAATAATAATTATTGAAATTTACAATAATGAAGATTGAATGCAAAATATATTTTTGTATGTCTAATTAATTTGTTTAGTCAATCTATCAATCAATATCTAATAAATTTTTTTCCTAGCTTATTAAAGTTATCATTGAAATATTTCTATTGTTAGTTTGAAATACTTCAACGTCGAACAAGAGCTTTATTTTTTTAAATATATTTTACTCTAATCTATTATATTGAGTCTACAATAAATAAAAAAATATTCGCATCTCTGTTCTATAGAAAAAATAAATAGGTTCTTTCGGTCAGAATAAATTAAACAAAATTAAGTTTATCCAAGCAATATTTGTTATAAATTGAAAAATTCGAGCTTTAAAAAGCTAGTGATCTATTCTTTATGTATTTTATTAATTATCATTTTTGAACTTTTTAGTATCTTGCGTGTTTGTCAACAAGCTCATCAAATGACAAATTATCATTTGATGTTGGTCTACAAGAGCACTCTCAAGGTTAGTAAATTTACAACTTATTATCATATTAAGTCGATCGATTTTCAACTAATTCTCTTTCTGTTCAGGAGAGGCTTGTTGGTGGACAGTTCATCCTGCATCGAAACAAAGATCTGAGGGAGAAAAGGTGAGAGTTGGAGATGACCTCATTCTTGTTTCTGTGGCTACTGAAAGATACCTAGTAAGTGTTTCCAAATTAACATCATTCTCTCTCTTTTTGTTTCTCTATACCTTGATGCTATGGTTTTTTTGCATTAAATTTTTTAGCACACAACGAAAGAGAACAATCTCTCAGTAGTAAATGCCTCCTTTCATGTTACTCATTGGTCGGTTCAACCTTACGGAACTGGAATAAGCAGAATGAAATATGTGGGGTATGTTTTTGGTGGTGATGTCCTGAGATTTTTTCACGGAGGCGATGAATGTTTAACAATTCCATCTTCTTGGAGTCCTTTGCCTGGGCAAAAGTATGTATATTATTTTATTTAAATATTTATTCAAATTTGGTTAGAAAGGAAGTTGATAGAAGTCTTCTTTTGACTTACTGGTCTATCTAATTTAACCAAGCTTTTATATAATAAGTCTAGCTTCATAAAAACTAATAGTTCTAAAGTTGAAAATAATCGTATTCAAATTTACAGTTTTAATAAAAGTAAAATTGCTAAAGTGTATTTTATTTTATTTATTGCTATTCAAAAATTCAAGCATAAAAAAGCTACAGAAGAATTATTGAGTTCTCTTGATTCGGATGTAAAATAATACTCTCTCAACCTATTTATTGATTCGGTTCGAGGTCAACTTCTTTACCCCTATCGAAAATTTACAGCATCGTCATTTATGAAGGAGGCAGTGTGATGAGTCAAGCAAGATCTCTTTGGCGTTTAGAATTAGCTAGAACTAAATGGGCAGGTGGATTTATCAATTGGTTACATCCAATGCGAATAAGACATCTCACTACTGGACGTTATCTCGGAGTTAAAGAGAATAACGAACTCTATCTGGTCGATAGGTAAGATTTAATTCAAGATAAAAAAGTAAATAGTCTCATTCTAAAAGTGTATTTTTGTAAACCAATATTCCAAGTACTTTCGAACCTCTTGAGTTATCACTGATTGAAATTCAAATCGAACCCAGTGTAGAATGTCATTGAGGGATCAACGACAATAGAATAAATGTAGATATAGTTATTTTAATTTATAGGGATGAAGCAACGACCGAGACTTCGACCTTCTGGCTACGTCAGGAGAAGGACGACCAGAAAATAATACTTGAAGATAAGGATCTTGAAGTAATTGGTTTACCGATTATCAAATACGGAGATTCAACTGTTATTATGCAACATGCAACCACCTGTCTTTGGGTTTCATATAAGGTAAGAATGCTATCATTTTTTTATTATAAAGCTATTGGGCTCAATGACACACATAAGAAATGTTTATAAATAACTATCTTCTAAAATATTTATTAAATTAATAAATTAAGCCTAATTAGTTGAATATTTTATTATCCTGATAAAATAGACCAAGTAAAATAAATTCTAGATTTAATTCATTCTTAATGAGCTTCTAAGGGTTTTTCTTTTTTTATCTGTACTTACTTTTTTATTATATTTAATTCCTATAAAAGATAGACTCATTCATTATTTTTTAATGTAATATATTATTATTTTATAATATTCAATAAGGTTATATTCAATTGGTGTATTGCCAATTGAAACATTCACATGCTAACCCAGATATGTTATTTCCAATTTCCTTCTTTTTCATCAGGGCTACACGTTGCGCCCTAATGAACTTTCTGCTTCGGAAATTTAGTTTATCTCCATGATCGATTTACCGCAAGCTCATAACGTATCTATCCATAATTTCAAACGAAATTTATTCTTCAAAATTTCTTCAATACAACATTTATTGTTATTGAATTTATTTCATGTTTTTAGCTATTTTTTTTACCATATCAGCCAATTTTTTCAATAGAATTTAAAAAAAAAAACGTATTACATTTGGCCATGACTGAATTTTAACATCAATAATAAATCATTGCAGTTCATGTAAAGCAAAAATCTTCACAGGAGTACGAAGTCATTATTCCACAAAGGCTAGCATTGATCTTCAATAGACAAAGCTCGGCAATATCCTCTCCTAGATTTTCTAGAGTTTACGTGTTTAGCTTTGTGACATTGTCTCTGTTTTAGAGTCTGTTGGTGAACATGCTAGACATCGAGCACACTTGTTTCTTCAATAATCTAAGCTTAAGTCAATCCCTTTACTGTACATAGTCTCTAGCTCAGTGGAGAATCTAATAGCTTTATCTTCTTTCTGCGTACAAACTTCTTGAAGTTGAATGAATATAAATTGTGTTTCCTTCCAATAGCTTTGAGGGTATGTTTTCAGTAAAGAAGTGGCACATCTTGGGAAAATTACTGCTTTTCTTTGTGAGTTGATGTGGTAAAGATTTCATTGAGCTTAATAGAAGTTGGGTCATCTACTAGAGTATTTTTCTAGACTTAGCTTTAAATCCGATTTTGACTTATTAAAGGATGCAAATTCAGAATTCCTGTTCAAGTTATTTACTTCAATGCATAGCTATCTGATAGCAATTTTGACTCATTTGAAGTTTTCTCATTAATTATCAAGTTTTAATGTCAATTCTCTGAAATCATGATTTATAATTGTATTTTCGACCTTCTTTGCTTCATCAGCATATGTTAAAGTACTCATAATTTGTTCTTTATTGTTTCTGAAGAATTAAGATGTAGATATTACATGCTTTCAACTACTTTGATCGTTCAAAGCAACAGCACTTGAGGCTCTATTGTTTAATTTTGGTGTCAATTATTTTAATATGTTTTTTAGTATCCATTATTTCCTTCTTAATTATTTTAATAATTTTTACGTATTAATGCTCTTCAAATTTGCATTATTTTAATTTCAGTCTTATGAAACAAAGAAAAAAGGCGTAGGAAAAGTAGAAGAAAAACAAGCAGTCCTGCACGAAGAAGGTAAAATGGATGATGGTTTAGATTTTTCAAGATCTCAAGAAGAAGAATCGAGAACTGCACGAGTTATTAGAAAATGTAGCAGTCTTTTTACTCAGTTCATCACGTGAGTTATTTAGAAAATTTATTATACCTTTAAAATAAAGTTGATTAAGTATTTTTATAAAGTTAGAGCTGATTAAATATATTTAGAGGCCTAGAAACGCTACAGATGGACAGAAGAGCATCTCTTTTTTTCCAAAATGTTAATCTCAATGAAATGGTCATGTGCTTAGAAGATTTAATCAATTATTTTGCTCAACCTGAAGATGATATGGGTAAGTAGTTTGTTTAATATTCGCTAAAAATTAGTTTAGTAGTAATGTTTTAGAATAAAGGAATACCTGAAAAATAACGAATCAATCAAACTAGTTATTAAGTCATGAAGGAAAATTAACTTTTTTTTTATTTCATAATTTAGAGCATGAAGAAAAACAAAATCGATTTCGAGCTTTAAGAAATCGTCAGGATTTGTTCCAAGAAGAGGGAATTTTAAATTTGATTCTCGAAGCAATCGACAAAATAAATGTAATAACGTCACAAGGTTTTTTAGTCGCTTTATCTGGTGATGAAAGTGGACAAGCATGGGATCAGATATCTGGTTATCTTTATCAACTTTTAGCAGCTATAATTAAAGGCAACCACACTAACTGTGCCCAGTTTGCTAATAGCAATCGATTAAATTGGTTATTTAGCAGACTAGGATCTCAAGCTTCCAGTGAAGGTACCGGTATGTTGGACGTACTCCATTGTGTTCTTATCGATTCTCCTGAAGCTTTAAACATGATGAGGGTAAGTTAATATTAACGAAAGTTTAAATTAGTATCTTGGAAACATAACAATTTATTAACATGATAAAATAAAAATTTTGACGTTTAGGATGAACATATCAAAGTAATTATTTCTCTTTTGGAAAAACACGGAAGGGATCCTAAAGTATTAGATGTTCTTTGTTCTCTCTGTGTCGGTAATGGAGTAGCAGTACGTTCATCACAAAATAATATATGTGACTTTTTACTCCCTGGAAAAAATCTCCTACTTCAAACGCAATTAGTTGATCATGTAGCTAGTGTGAGACCAAATATTTTTGTGGGAAGAGTAGAAGGATCAGCAGTATATCAAAAATGGTATTTTGAAGTAACAGTGGATCACATCGAGCAGACCACACATATGGTACCACACCTGAGGATTGGATGGGCAAATACTTCCGGGTAAAAATTAATTTCAATAAAGCTTTGATTAATTTTATTTACGAAGTTCTAGTACTACATTGTAATTAATACAAATAAACATAAATCGAATGATTAAAATTAAATCTGTATTATGTTACCTTAATTATCTTAACTTGATACAGACTTCCATTAGTTAATTAATGTAATTTAATTTAGATATGTTCCATATCCCGGAGGAGGTGAAAAATGGGGTGGAAATGGCGTAGGAGATGATTTATATTCTTTTGGATTCGATGGATCGTTTCTGTGGACCGGTGGACGCAAAACTCAAGTTATCCATGATGCAACGGAACCTTATATCAAAAAAGGAGATGTTATAGGATGTGCACTAGACCTTACAGTTCCAGTAATTACTTTTTCCTTCAACGGTGCACACATTTCAGGTTCCTTTAGGAACTTTAATCTCGACGGAATGTTTTTTCCGGTCATCAGTTGTTCTTCCAAGCTTTCCTGTAGATTTCTTTTAGGTGGAGACCACGGAAGAATGAAGTTTCAACCTCCAGAAGAATTTTCTCCATTAGTAGAAAGTCTCCTACCTCAACAAATCTTATCTTTAGATCCTTGTTTCTACTTTGGAAATATGAACAAAGTTGTTTTAGCTGGTCCGTGGCTGGTTGAAGATGATACTGCCTTTGTCCCTAAACCAGTTGATACAAGTATGGTTAATTTACCAGCATACGTTGAACAGATTCGTGATAAATTGGCAGAAAATATACATGAAATGTGGGCAATGAATAAAATAGAAGCTGGTTGGATTTATGGAGAACAGAGAGATGATATGAGAAAAATTCATCCATGCATTGTACAATTTGAAAAGCTTCCAGCTGCTGAAAAACGTTATGATACTCAATTAGCAGTGCAAACATTAAAAACAATTCTAGCTTTGGGATATTATATTACAATGGACAAACCTCCTTCTAGAATAAAAACTTTAAGGCTTCCAAATGAACCCTTTTTACAGAGCAGTGGTTATAAACCAGCTCCTTTAGATCTTAGTGCCATAACACTCACTCCAAAAATGGAAGAGCTGGTTGATCAGCTTGCTGAAAATACACATAATCTTTGGGCAAAGGAGAGAATAAGTCAAGGATGGACATATGGATTAAATGAAGATTCCGAGATGAGAAGAAGCCCGCATTTAGTGCCTTATCCGAAGGTTGATGAAGCCATTAAAAAAGCGAATAGAGATACCGCTAGTGAAACTGTAAGGACGCTTCTGGTTTATGGATACATGTTAGAGCCTCCCACTGGTGAACAGCATGAAGGTAATTATTTTTAATTTATTACTTCTCCTATTCGTTTTATTTTTTTTTTTACGTTTATTTATACTTCACAATGAATTTCAGCTCTTCTTCTTGAAGCTAGTAGACTTCGACAGCTATTTTTCCGAACATACCGCGCTGAAAGAAATTACGCCGTAAGCAGTGGCAAATGGTACTTTGAATTCGAAGTTCTCACCGCAGGACCAATGAGAGTAGGTTGGGCTAAAGCTGATTGCATGCCAGGAAGTATGCTAGGAAATGATGACAACACTTGGGCCTTTGATGGGTACAACGTATGTTAAAATGATAATTATCTTACTCTTTTAGATTCATGTTATCATAAATTCACGCTATCAGTTGCATTTGTTTACCAGCAAAGTAAATTGGTGAAAAAAAAACTAGTTAATAATTCGGCCAAATTTTTCATTTAGATCGCAATTTATATTGTGAATTATTAGCTTTTTTCCGAAGAAGCAATAAACGAAATAAATTGCAAAAATAAACCAATCAATAAGTACGAAAATTGAAATGAAATATTAAATTAGCTGATAGTATGTTATCAAGGTTTAATCACGTGGTAAATGATAGGTGACCAAAGTACACGGTGGTAGCTGCGAATCTTTTGGTCACAGATACCAAGTGGGTGATGTAGTTGGCTGTTTCTTTGACGCTACGGACAGAACGATCAGTAAGAGTCCCCTGAAATTTGTCAATAAGACAAATGTTTTTATTTAATTGAAAACATTTATTTTTTCATTTTTTTCATTTTTACATAAAAATGATGTTTTTTCATTTTTCTTTCAATGTTAATTCACGTTATTTTCATAATTTATCATCACTACTGTACATTTATTTCGCTTTCTGTTCATAATTACCTTTGGATTGAATTTTTGCACCTGCCTTTCAAAAGAAAAGTGAAACATAACGATCAGACTTGATCATCATTATTTGTTTATCTTACATTGATTGATTAATTTGAAGTGTCTTTTGAAAATAAAAAATGATATTGAGTAAATAGAAAAAAGACTGAACAATGAGACCAACAGTTTAATTTACCGGTGAATAGATGATAATTATCATAATTTTTATTATTCTTATTATTATAATTATTGTTATTATTATGATTATTATTGTTATTATGATTATCGTGGAGGCAAAATTGTTGGACACCGGTTGAATTGCTTTTAAATTTTTATTTTAAAGGAGGAAAAAGTATACTCGGGAACTGCCGAAACATTTGGTAAACAATGGCAGGTTGGAGACGTTGTCGGTGTATTCCTGGATCTTATTGACCGAACAATTAGTAAGACGGAGTCTTTAAACCAACGCTTCAGCTGCCATTACAAGCTACATTACAATATGAGTGTAGAGATAGATTACTGGATATCGAGTTTACTGTTTTTTTTTTCTATCAAACTTTTCATAATATTTCCAAGATAGTTGAAACAAAATTTTATATTTAATTATTTCTTAAAATTATTCCGATCAAAATTAATTTTTCATATTTTTACATCTATCTGACACTATGTATATATTTAATAATACTTCTAACACTCTTTTTGTTTTTTGCATGTTTTCATCTGTTCATTAATACAGAAAAAACTCAGTATTTTATTATAAATAAGTTGAAATAATAAAGTAGAATATACATTGTTGCAAATAATTATGTTATTTATTTTAAATCGTTTTAACTTGTTGAGAATTAAAAAAAAACAATTAAGAGAATTCATATAAATATTATTTGTAAATTATCATTAAATAGGACTAAAGTTTATTTTAATTTAAGTATATTCAAATAGTATTCATGAAATTTTGTATTAAACATAGTTCCATTTAATTATTCTCTCTAAATACAAAGATTGATTCAGTTTAATGTAATTAATAAAAGTCAGTTAAGTTTAAATCAATTTAATTCATATCAAATGTTTTTAATGATTTTAATGAAAATAAATATTTATTTATAAGAAATTATTCAACTTATTTACGATAAAGTAAATTTTTCTGTAAGAATAACTACTTTTGAAATTATATCAATGAAATCATATAAATATATTTGAAAGTTTAATAATATGTACTGTTATTGTTCTTATCAAGAATGATTAATAAACTAATCGATTCATGAATGAAAGTTGATTAATATTAATAATAATATTAAAAAGTCAATTCATGGAATCATTATTCATTTGTTTTTAAAAACTTTTAATCATCAGATATCCAGTATTCTACTCGCTTTTACTCTATTCAGTATAATTAACTATTAATTAATGAGTGGACCTCAATTTTCATTGTAAAAATATAATATTCGATTAATTAACTATCATTAACAATTTATCATTAATACACGTTAATCATTATCATAAAATTTCATATATTTTAAATTATGGAAGTCTATATCTATTTATACATAATTATACTCCTACAATTTTTCTCCTTTTCTTTTTGTTTAGATCAGATTTCTGTAGATTCTTAGATATTCCTCCGATTTTTTTATATTTTTATTGCTATTAATGTTCTGCATGCTAAAATATGACTTCATTTACTTTTATTCTTAGATTATTCATAATATTACAAAGAGAATGCATGCATTGATTTTATCCTTTAAAAATGATTTTATAAACTCCTAGCTATAGTTGCACTGTTTCCATCAACGTAAATAGTCGTGATGCCTGTTTTAATTTACTTCTTTTAGAATTAATTTCTATTTTTTTACGCAGATGTAGCCTTATTGTGATGTTTATTATCATAATTATTTGTTGTTTCTTAATAAATCATCAAAGACTTGGCTTTTTTAATTTACAAACAATTATCAAGACTATCTAAAATATTCAATTAAATCAATAAAAATAAAAATACATTGTTAGATTTGTTTAAAATGTGCTAAAATCAATTTTAAAACAGCCAAGTTGTGTGATATATCAATGAAATTACAAGTAACTATGTTATTCAAAATAATAATTAATATTTATCTGTAATTAGGCTTTTCTCTTAACGGAGAACTACTTATGGATGCTTTGGGTGGAGAAACTTCCTTTGCAGATGTTCAAGGAGATTCTTTTGTTCCTGCTTTTACTCTTGGTGTAGGTCAAAAGGCAAAACTTACTTTTGGGCAGGATGTCAACACTCTTCGATACTTTACTACTTGTGGTCTTCAAGAAGGATATGAACCTTTCTGCGTGTAAGTATTATTAAAAAGTGCATTTTAAATAATAGAATAATTATTTAATCATTATTTATTTATTTATTTTTAGCAATATGAATCGACCAATGACATTTTGGTTCACTAAAGATCAGCCAATATTCGAAAATACTGATGACATGGTTGACACAAGAATAGACGTGGCAAGAATTCCAGCTGGTTCTGATAGTCCTCCATGTCTTAAAATTTCGCATAATACTTTTGAAACTATGGAAAAAGCCAATTGGGAATTCTTAAGATTATCATTGCCAGTTATTTGCCAGTCAACATTTATCACTGAAGCCGAAAAGAAGCAACGATTGCATGAAATTAAAATTCGTCAAGAGCATTTATTAGCTGAACAGCATGAACAGATGCAAGCCGCTGCTCCATCAGCTCATATGGAACAAATTATGAAATCTGGATTCAGCATGAGTGACATTAAAGGTATAATTACATAAATAAAAACTATTATAAAAAATAAACAAGTTACTGTCAAGTCATTGATTTTATTAAATTTATCTAATAGGTTTACAAAGAAATTATTCAGAAGATGCTGTTGAAGAAGCAGAAATGATGAAAGAATCCCCTATTCCACAAAGAAATAAACCTTCAAGGCCACCTCGAAAGAATTCGCTTTATGAGTCTAGGACTTTAAATAATATCAACGATACAGAAATTATGAATGGTTATGATGAAATGAATGGAGATCTTAAAGACGACAAAAAATTAAAGCGAGGAAGGTCGCCATTCCGGTTAGTTATCAATGTTATAAATAATTTAGTCATAATTTAAATTAGTATATATTAAATATAATTATTAACATTTATAAATAAAGCAACAATTATTTAACAATGTAATTATATTATTAGTGGGCAAAACGAAGGCACGGAAAAGGCTTCGTAAGTGACTTTTTTAACCTGAATGTTATCAGAATATTTTTGTTATTGAATGACGGTGCTTATTATGATTATTATATTTTATTATTTATTGTTTTAATAGTGTCGTTTAAGTTTTGAAAGCTTTTCATAAATCTTTGTATATCATTTTACTTAAAAAATCTTTTTTTACAGGTTCTTCTCTCGAAAAGCTAAATCTCCAGATGCAAAATCGAGGACTCCAGAACCCCCTCTAGATATGTCCAAAAGAGGCGTATCAGTCAGCCAGCTATCGAAATCTCCACAAATCCGAGTATCAACTGTAAGTTTATGCTAATGTTTTCTCTTTCAATAATCTCTGTTTACTTGGTAAATATTTAATTCAAATAATAATAATGATGATATTTTTATTGAAACAGACGGATCTAAAAGTAGTTCCACCGCAAATACCAGAGCGAAATGCTCCAAAAGCCATGTCAGTGAATTTAACAGGAACTGGAGTGGAATCTATTGGAAATGAAATTTACGATCCGGAATGTTTGAAACTTATGAATGAATATTTTTACGGAGTTCGAATATTTCCTGGTCAAGATCCTACTCACGTTTATATTGGATGGGTTACATCACAATATCATCTTCACACAAAGGATTTCAACCTTTCACGAGTGAGGAAAGCTTCAGTGGTGATTGTTGATGATTATGAGCGACCTGTAGATCAGTAAGTACGCAATATTTATTTTATAATGATCAATAGAATTCTATCATGAAATTATTTTAATAAATTAAATAGGGTAGACCGGCAAAGCTGTTATATGGTTCGAGCAGATGAACTTTACAACGAAGTAACACAAGATGCTTCAGGAAAAGGAGCATCTCAAGGAATGTTCGTCGGTTGTTTCGTCGATACATCAACAGGAATGGTTTCTTTTACCTGCGAAGGCAAGGAAACAAGTCATAAGTTCAGGATGGAACCAGATACCAAACTCTTCCCAGCAATTTTCGTTGAAGCCACAAGCAAGGAAATCCTACAGATTGAACTTGGAAGAACTTCCAATACCCTCCCACTATCAGCTGCAGTTCTACAGAATTCAGAACGTCACGTAATTCCACAATTCCCACCCAGATTGAAAGTTCAATGTTTAAAGCCACATCAATGGGCACGAGTTCCTAATCAGTCTCTCCAAGTTCATGCATTGAAATTGTCAGATATTAGAGGATGGTCTATGCTTTGTGAAGATGCGATTTCAATGCTTGCTCTCCATATTCCCGAAGAAGATAGATGTATTGATATTTTGGAGTTGATTGAAATGGACAAGCTTTTAAGGTAAATTATTGTTTGAAAGTTCGTTTAAGTACTTTTATTCAATTTATTCATTATTATGTCGAAGTTAAAAAATATTAAATTATTTCCATCGAGGACAAAAAAAATTGGATTAAGTTCAACAAATAATTTACTGCTTGTGAATGAAGTATATTCTATTAAGAACATACTTTATAAAAGTATAAAGACGTAAAAAAATATAAAAACTTTTTTATAAAGAAATTAAAAATGAATTTTTTACTCAACAGAAGATAAATTATATTTTCTTACAGTTTTCATGCGCATACATTAACGCTGTATGCTGCTTTATGTTATCAATCGAACTATCGAGCAGCCCATGCCCTTTGTCTCCATGTCGATCAAAAACAACTGCTTTACGCTATTCGAGCAGAATATATGTCAGGACCTCTTCGTCAAGGATTTTATGATCTTTTAATTGCTCTGCATCTTGAGTCTCACGCGACAACAATGGAAGTCTGTAAAAATGAATACATTATACCCTTAGGTAATGTTTTAATTAAAAATACAAAAATGATAACTTTGCGATTATATTTATTTATAAATTTCTTATTAATATATATATAATAAAATTTTGTAGGTCAAGAACTGAAGGATCTTTATGAAAATCCAGAAATGAGGCATAGTTTACGATACTTAGAAACAGAATCCGTTCGGCCACAGATGAAAATGACTGAAATCAGGTAAATATATAATCCTCTGTGTAGTAGAAACCCCTTTACTAATAAGATGGCATCAAGGCATTTTTCTTGCAGTGAAAATCAAAATATTGAGAATATAAGAAACCTCTACAGCCCATTCTTCCCCCTGGATATTGTTCGAGATTATGTCATGATGGCACTTAATGAAGCAGTAGAAGTCAATCAAGTTCACAATAGAGATCCAATTGGTGGCAGTAATGAAAATTTATTTTTGTATGTATTTTAATTTTTTTTTTTTTTTTCACTAAAACATTCTTCTAAACAACGTTAAAGACTCATGTCTATTTTTTCATTTAAAATAAAAATAATATAAATACTGATTGATAATCTAATTTTTTCAGACCTTTAATTAAACTAGTTGATAGACTTCTTCTTGTTGGAATGCTGAGGAATGAAGATATTGAAAAGCTTCTGATTATGATCAATCCTGAAACCTGGGATGCAACGTTTGATAAAGGTATGGTCATTTTTTTTTTTTTTTAAATTCTTATTAGATAACTAATCAATAGAAACTGTAAACTATTAACTGGAATTTTCTATCTAATTTTAGAAGGCAAAGATGAACACAGAAAAGGTTTGCTCCACATGAAAATGGCTGAAGGAGCTAAACTTCAAATGTGTTATCTTCTTCATCATCTTTGTGATATTCAACTTCGTCACAGAGTTGAATCAATCATCTCCTTCAGCCACGACTTCGTGGGAGAGCTTCAAGCAGACCAACTTCGTCGTTATATCGACATCAAACAATCAGATTTACCATCTGCAGTAGCAGCCAAGAAAACACGAGAATATCGTTGTCCTCCTCGCGAGCAGATGAATGCTATTTTAAGCTTTAAAAATCTAGAAGATGATGATCCTGAGAATATTCCTTGTGGAGAAGAATTAATTACCAAAATGAATGAGTTTCATAATGAGTTAATGTCTTATGTGTCACTTCATGCGCTTCAAGAAGCCGCAGATGCTGCCAATGAACCAGTGGAAATTGAAAAACCTGGTGCAATTCGTAGATTATTTAATTTCATTAATGCTGTGAAAGAATTAGAAGAAGAACCTAAAACAGAACCAGAACCTGTCAAGAAAACACCTGAAGAAGTATTCAGAAAAGTTCTAATATCAACAATTGTCTCTTGGGCAGAGGAAACGCAAATAGAAACACCTAAACTTGTGCGAGAAATGTTCAGTCTCCTAGTACGTCAATATGACACGGTAGGGGAGTTAATAAGAGCTTTAGAAAAAACTTATGTAACAAATAGCAAGACAAGAGACGATGTTGCTGGAATGTGGATTGGATTAAGTCAAATTCGAGCTCTCCTTCCTGTCCAGATGTCTCAAGAGGAAGAAGAATTAGTTAGAGAAAGACTTTGGAAACTTGTTAATAATCACACGTTCTTCCAGCATCCTGATTTAATCAGAGTTCTTAGGATTCACGAGAATGTCATGGCGATTATGATCAATACCCTTGGTAGAAGATCGCAAGCTCAATCTGATGCTCAAACTCAAGCACAAGCGGCTGAAGGAGGAGAGGTGCCAGCAAAAGAGAAAGACACGTCACATGAAATGGTTGTAGCTTGTTGTAGATTTTTGTGTTACTTCTGTCGAACTTCAAGACAGAACCAGAAAGCAATGTTCGATCATTTTGATTTCTTACTAGAGAACAGTAATATTTTACTGTCAAGACCTTCTTTGAGAGGTTCTACACCTTTGGACGTTGCTTATTCATCATTAATGGAAAATACAGAACTTGCTTTAGCATTGAGGGAACATTATCTAGAAAAAATAGCAGTTTATCTTTCAAGGTGTGGATTGCAATCGAATTCAGAACTTGTGGAAAAAGGATATCCAGATCTTGGATGGGATCCAGTTGAAGGCGAGCGTTATCTTGACTTTTTAAGATTCTGCGTTTGGGTTAACGGTATGTAAATAAATTCAAAATAAAATTAAATGTTTTTTAGTAAAAGACATCATTAAAAATATCTAATTTAATTGTTATTTAATTTGTCTAGGTGAAAGTGTTGAAGAAAATGCGAATTTAGTAATTAGATTACTAATTCGTCGCCCAGAGTGTTTGGGTCCAGCTCTCCGTGGTGAAGGAGAAGGTCTCTTACGAGCAATTATTGATGCTAATAAAATGTCTGAACGTATTGCGGATCGTAGAAAGGTAAGATCATTTAATAGAGAAAAAAAAAGATGAATTATCTACTCAAGATCATACACAGTTAAAGGATTGAGTTCATAAATTCAAACGTAAGAATGTCCTTTATTTTATTTTTGTATGTTTTTTTTCCCCTGTGCAATTAAAATTCCACATAAATTGTATAGTGAATTAGAATAGATTATCTTCGTATCTTCATAGGATCTAGTATTGTAGAGAATGCACGAAGCACGGTTGCAAAAATTTGTAGATTCGTAATTAAAACAATGTCATTAGCCCTAGAGTATAATGTCAAATCCTTATGTAAATAATTAAAATTATAAACCCTACATTTAATTGGAAATAGTAAACAGTAAACAAATCCTGAATGATCAATCCTCATGTATGTAGAGTCTTTACAAAATACACCGATCCAAGCATGGTAGACTTGCAACTAATTGATTATCAATGTAGCAATTCAAACAGGTTCATGATGAAGTTGAGGGCAATTCGGTCGCACAGTTCGAGCATCCACTTCCTGAATCTGATGATGATGAAGATTATATAGATACTGGAGCAGCTATTTTGAATTTCTATTGTACATTAGTCGATTTATTGGGCCGTTGCGCACCTGACTCATCTGTTATTGAACAAGGTAAAATATTATTATTCAATTTGTACCCATAATACAATCCCAATAAATTCCTTGCTCAAAATATCAGTGATACATAATTTAATCATTTATCCAGTCAATTTGATAAATGGTAATTGTCATTCACAGGTAAAAATGAATCCCTACGAGCAAGAGCTATTTTAAGATCACTTGTTCCTCTGGATGATCTCCAAGGTGTTCTGTCTTTACGATTCACTCTACTGAATCCGGCTGCTGGTCAAGAAAGACCTAAAAGTGATACTCCTTCAGGTTTAATACCTGGACACAAACAAAGCGTAGTTCTTTTCTTGGAGCGAGTATATGGAATTGAGACAAAAGAATTATTCTTCAAAATACTCGAAGAAGCTTTTCTTCCTGATCTCCGAGCAGCAACAATGCTTGATAGGAATGATGGATATGAATCAGACATGGCCTTAGCAATGAACCGATATATTGGAAATAGTATTCTTCCTTTGTTGATCAAACACTCCAAATTTTATAATGAAGCTGATAATTATGCGAGTCTTCTTGATGCTACACTTCATACAGTATATCGTCTCAGTAAAAATAGAATGTTAACCAAAGGACAACGTGAAGCAGTTTCTGATTTTCTTGTCGCTCTAACTAGGTAAGAACGATTAGTTTTCGATTTATTGAAATTTAGATTAATTATACTACAGAAATATATTTATTCAAATTATTGATCACTTTTACAGCCAAATGCAGCCAAGTATGCTGCTTAAACTCCTTCGCAAGCTTACAGTAGATGTTTCTAAGCTGTCAGAATACACAACTGTTGCTTTAAGAGTAAGTATTTATCTAATAATAAATTTAGATGAAACAAAATTCGTTCTAAAAATTTTTTTAATAATAAAAAAATATGCTTATCAACTGATTCTGTATCAATTTTTAGCTGTTAACCCTGCATTATGACCGTTGTGCTAAATATTACGGTTCAACTGGAGGCCAAGGTACCTACGGAGCATCGAGTGATGAAGAAAAGCGCCTTACTATGGTGTTATTCAGTAACATCTTCGATTCCTTGTCAAAAATGGATTACGATCCAGAGTTATTCGGAAAAGCTTTACCATGTCTTACTGCTATCGGTTGTGCTCTCCCACCTGACTATTCTTTATCAAAGAATTATGATGATGAGTGGTACAGCAGTAAATCCGCATCTACTCAGTCTCCAGATGGTCCTTATAATCCTCAACCTATCAATACATCGAATGTTGTGCTCAATAATGATCTTAACCAAATCGTTCAAAAGTTTTCTGAACATTATCATGATGCGTGGGCAAGTAGAAAACTTGAAAATGGATGGACTTTTGGAGAATCATGGTCTGATGCTAATAAAACTCATCCAAGATTGAAGCCTTACAGTGTCTTGAATGACTATGAAAAGGAACGTTACAAAGAACCTGTAAGAGAAAGTTTAAAAGCTTTATTGGCGATTGGATGGAGTGTGGAGCATGCTGAAGTAGATATGGCCTCAACAAATCGTAGCTCATTACGGAGATCATCTAAAAGTCAGACTGATGCAGCGAATCCGTTTAATTATAATCCTCATCCGGTTGACATGACTAATTTGACCCTTAGCAGAGAAATGCAGAATATGGCTGAAAGATTAGCTGACAATGCTCATGATATTTGGGCGAAGAAGAAAAAGGAAGAATTAATTACCACTGGAGGAGGAATTCATCCGCAACTAGTACCTTACGATCTCCTGACTGATAAAGAGAAGCGTAAGGATCGAGAACGATCTCAAGAATTCTTGAAATACCTTCAATATCAAGGCTACAAACTTCATAAACCAAACCGTGGTGGAGCAGAGACTGAAGTCGGCGGAACTGGGGCATCAGTAGAACTTCGATTTGCATACTCACTTTTGGAGAAATTAATCGCATATTTAGACAAAGCTACAATTAACATGAAACTTCTGAAACCTTCTGATACATTCAGTCGTCGTAATTCTTTCAAAACGTCTACTCGCGACATCAAGTTCTTCAGCAAAGTAGTTTTACCACTGATGGAAAAATATTTCAGCACTCATCGAAACTATTTCATCGCCGTAGCCACAGCAACAAACAATGTTGGAGCAGCTTCATTGAAAGAAAAAGAAATGGTTGCTGCTTTATTCTGTAAATTAGCAAGTTTACTTCGATCAAGACTTGCAGCTTTTGGTGCTGATGTGAGAATAACTGTTCGTTGTCTCCAAGTGTTAGTGAAAGGAATCGATGCCAAATCTTTGGTGAAAAATTGCCCGGAATTTATACGTACATCTATGTTGACATTCTTCAACAATACAGCAGATGATTTGGGACATACTATTTTAAACTTACAAGAAGGGAAATATAGCCATCTACGAGGAACACATTTGAAGACTTCGACATCACTTTTCTACATCAACAGTGTAGTTTTACCGACACTAACAGCTATGTTCGATCACTTAGCAGCTTGCGAGTATGGCAGTGATCTTTTACGTAAGTTGAAGATTTACTTTATTTCTTCACCTTTTCACTACTTTTTTTTTCATAAATCTCAAAATGGTTTTTTGATATCTTATGCATATACATTAAATTGAATAATTAACAAAATTACAAATTAAACATTTTCATTCACTTTTTGAATGATTTCACTGTATAAAGAAATAATGTTGATCATTGTTCCTGTTTTGTTTACTTCTATTTCACTATTTTTCGTCTTTATTTTCAAATAAAAGGCTGCTATCCCAACTTGTATGTATCGATCATCAATTGGTTGTTTGAGTTTGCAAACTAGAGGACTTCCGATGAAACTCTAAAAATTGAAATTTTTCCGTTAACTACAAACTATATGAAAATAAATTAACAAAAAATATTAATTGAATGTTTACTAGTAAATGTTTATCTGTAACATTGACAAATGGCAAATGATATGATCTTGAAATAAGCCAATCCTTATCAAATGCTAATTGATTGAAATCCAAGTTTTGAGCATCAAATTGTCCGTCATTGAAAGGTGTAGGATATGCAACAGTTACTAAACCTATTAATCATTATCACTTACAGTTAGTTGTATTTTTGAAAGAAATAATTTTGATTATAATATAATTACCTGTACTATTGGAAGTAGTACTGTACTCTCGCATCCATCGAGTATACAAACAATGATTTCCAACAAAAATTTTGGTATTGCTAGCTAAATTTATTGGTTTTATTTTATCTGTAAGATCGAAACTAGTTTCCAAAATTAACAAATTATAACTAATATCAATATCATGAAGATCTTCCGGATCATTTTGATGAATAATTTTTGCAACTTTTCTTACTACACAGTTCTCTAAGATTGCCAGAAATCCGTGTTCTTCACAATTAGTTTCAACAACTATGTCATTTTCTGTATGTCTATGAAAAATATTAATTAATACTGACACAACTGAATTTTATGTCAATAATTTTTCATTCAATCATACCCAACAAGTCCTAGTGAAGAAGTAAGAACTACTTTAGGATGAATAAGTGAACCATAACTTAATCCTAAAGTTTAAAAAAAAATAACTTGAATAATTTTGGAAGGTAGATGTGTAATTAAAACAATCATAAAGGCAATTAAAATATTAAAAAAATATTTGAAAGTTAAAATTTTCGATACTTACTAAAGAGTGAATCTCTAACATTTCTAATTACAACAAGCCATGGATATCTGATTAAACTATTTTTATCAATATCACGATTTACTTCTTTATAAAAAGGCCCACAACTTTGTACAAAATGAACAATAGTTAGTATTAATAAATACTTTGATAATGTGTACATTGTTATAAGCTGCATGAATAAAATAGCGCGAGATTAGATAGTATTTGAAGAATAAAAAATAACTCTTGATTTCTTGAATTTATACAGCGAAGACGGTATTTCTTGCAAGTTTTTTTTTCTTTTTATTAAACAAGCTATGTAAATACCAACCATCTGGATGATGAAAAAATATTTGAACTATTCTATCATCAATACCTATTCTAATTGTAATGATAAAAAAATTAACATTGATAATCGAAATTATCAAATAATTTGCAATTAATTCCAATATAAAATCACAAAAACAGATTAATGCCAGATCCACAGGTTTTTTAAGTGTTTAGTTTAAAGTTGATTGAGCTGAAATATTGAATTAAAATTTGTCAGTATAAATATTCTTATCCGTGCATAAATAATTCATAAAAAATTTTTATAAATATATTTGCTTTTTTTGGTTTCAGTTGATGAAATTCAAGTGGCGTCATACAAAATGCTAGCATCTCTGTACACACTAGGAATTGATTCTACTCTAACTCACGATCGCAAATATCTTAAAACTGAAATAGAAAGAAATAAACCGAACTTAGGTTCTTGCTTGGGTGCATTTTCTAGTTGTTTTCCAGTAGCCTTTCTCGAGCCTCATCTCAACAAACACAATCAATTTTCACTTTTGAACCGAATTGCTGATCATTCCTTAGAAGCTCAAGATATAATGACCAGAATGGAATCCAGTATGCCAACATTAGAAACAATTTTATCAGAAGTAGATCAATTTGTTGAGTCAGATAAAACGTACAATGATGCACCTCATGTTGTGGATGTTATATTACCTCTATTATGTTCTTATCTACCGTTTTGGTGGGCTCAAGGTCCCGATAACGTCAATCCCACTGAAGGAACTTATGTTAGTATGGTTACAAGTGATCACATGAATCAATTGCTGAAAAATGTTTTAAAATTAATTAAGAAAAATATTGGAAATGAAAATGCACCTTGGATGACACGAATTGCTGCGTATACTCAGCAAATTATTATTAACTCATCAGAGGAGCTCTTGAAAGATCCATTTTTGCCGCTTGCTGAAAGAGTAAGAAAGAGGACTGATAATATGTTCCATAAAGAAGAATCGCTTCGAGGATTCATTAAATCTTCGAGCGATGATACTTCACAAGTTGAAGCACAGATACAAGAAGATTGGCAATTACTTGTACGGGACATTTATGCTTTCTACCCATTGTTGATTAAATATGTTGATCTCCAGAGAAATCACTGGCTGAGAAATAATATACCAGAAGCAGAAGACTTGTATAATCATGTTGCTGCGATATTTAACATTTGGTCCAAGTCACAATATTTCCTCAAAGAAGAACAAAACTTTATTTCTGCTAATGAAATTGATAATATGGTGCTCATCATGCCTACAGCTATTAGAAGAACAGCAACAGTTACTGATGGTTCTGCTCCTATTGGCGGTGGGAAAGTGGTTTGTATCTAATTCTGAAAGTAATATAAAATAATGATAAGAACGCTGTTATAAATTAAGATTATTTTTTTTTTTTACAGAAAAAGAAAAAACATCGTGACAAGAAACGAGATAAGGACAAAGAAGTGCAAGCATCACTCATGGTAGCTTGTCTGAAACGTCTTCTTCCTGTTGGTCTAAACTTGTTTGCTGGTCGTGAACAAGAATTAGTCCAGCATTGTAAAGACCGTTTCTTAAAAAAAATGACCGAGGCAGATATTGCAGAGTTTGCCAAGACACAGCTGACATTACCAGATAAAATTGATCCTGCTGATGAAATGTCATGGCAACATTATTTATATTCCAAATTGGGACAAAAGAAGGATACAATGGAACCGGTAAAGGCTCAACAGCTTGATGAAGTTGTGACAAGAATTACTGACATGGCTAAAGTACTTTATGGGCTACATATGGTAAGTAAATATAGTTTATTACTTTTCTTATGCTTCTATCAAATTAGATGTATCAGATCATTCCTCACTGATTGTTTTATCTTTTGAACATTTATTTATTTCAATTATTCATTATGTTTAAGTATTTTTCATTATTATATATTTGTATTCACATTTTTATTTTTTTCATGTTCTCTGTCGAGTAGATTGATCATCCTCAGCAGCAAAGCAAGAGTAGTTACAGATCTGTGGTCTCAATTCAACGGAAACGAGCAGTTATAGCTTGTTTCCGTCAAACTTCCTTACATTCCTTACCCAGGTATCCTAACTTTTTGTTTTGTTCGATTTATTTGCAGTGATTTTTTTTAATTTACTTCATTACTTGTTTGTGAATAAATTATGTTTTCATTCATTATACAGGATTTGCGCACAATTCTAAAAAATATTTCAATTAAATTCAACAATGACAGAAATAACGTTTATTATTAAAAGTTGTTTAATTCTAAACTATATTTAAATCAAATTATAATATTGATAAATTTCAAAGCAGTAATATGTAATTGATAGTAACATTGTAAGTTGTGTGTGCATGATTACTAACAGGCTACTAAACCACCACCGTTGAAAGACGGATGGAAGCGTGTGTTGTGTGCGGCAAGAAAAAGAGCTGCTGTTGCATGCCTACGTAGTGAACCTTTATATAAATTGAGAAGGTAAGGAATTTTTTATATTAGTTTAATTTAATTAACTACAAATAAAGTATGACAGTCTTAATTTGAGATTTTTTATTTTTGATAGACATCGAGCAATAAACATTTTTGCCAGAACATATTATGAATTATGGCTTCAAGATGAAAATGTTGGACAAGAAGTGATGATTGAAGACCTTACGGTAAGTTTTATAAAATAAAATATTTTAATGATTATTCACATAAATTATCATTATAATATTCTAGGAATGAATGTTAAAAAAAATGATGGAGTATTTTTTTAAAGAAAAGATTTGTTTTTTTAGCAATCATTTGAGGATGCAGAATTGAAGAAAATGGATATAACACAAGAAGAAGGTAAACCGGATCCTTTAACCCAATTAGTAACAACATTCTGCCGCGGAGCCATGACAGAACGTTCAGGAGCACTTCAAGAAGATCCATTATACATGAGCTATGCTGAAATTATTTCGAAATCCTGTGGAGAAGAAGAAGAAGAAGGTGAAGATGAAGAAGGCGGAGGCGGTGAAGAAGAGAGTGGTGCATCGATTCATGTGAGTGAAGAAATTGCTAAAATATTTATGAAGATCAAAGTACCGAAATCAGTTTGACAATTTAATTTGTTGAAAAAAAAAATTATATATTTATCCTGAAAATAAGTACAGAAAGTTTGAGAGGCAAAATATCATTAATGCATGTCTTCTCTTTTTTAAACTTACTGATCGGCCAGCAGCCGACGCATAAACTTATATTGGTAAGATTAGATTAAAGTAGATAGTCCCTATATCAGGTTGCATCGTTACATTATTAGATTTGAAAGTAATCATATTTGCATTTTTATGATACATTAATTCAATGGTTCAATCAAAAAACTTTATATTATTTATTGATCATTCCATTTGTACCAATTTATTTTAGTAATAATGTTGACAATAAATATATTAGTTATTAGTTAGAGTTATGGAATAAGTCATTATAATAATTCGTTAATTATTTATTAATATTAAAATTATTTTTATGCATTCTTAAGAGACCGATGCATAAACTGATGGTAAGAGCTTCAATATTTTATTGGTAATTAATAATATTTTATTAACTTGAAAGTTTAAGTATCTTCTTAAGAAAAGAGATATAAAAAATGCCCAAGACACGATTTCGAAACGAAAAGTTATGTGAACTCTTGTGGAATATCTTTAGTATTTTTTAAATAATGTTCTGCATAAAAATAAAAAAAGATTTTGTTAGGTACTCTGAGAGTATTTTACACGAGTACAATGTCTGTGAAATCCATTCAGAATCACAAGTGGTAATTCTTGGACATTTTTATGGGCTATTCCCTTGTCAAGGATGCTCTAAAGCACTTTCAAGTGCTTTGTGTGCATTTTCTGCGGAAACGATGTCTTACAAAATGTCTTAAATCCTCCACTCGTGATTTTTGGTTGATTTTTACATTTTTCTTCATGTATTGAAACCACAACATCTTTCCCCAGAAGTTTATCTATCAGACAAATCTTTATTAGAAAATCTAAATAAAATAAATATTTATTTAGGATTAAAACAAGATGAATTTGATAATTTATTAAATACATTAACTTAATAAAATTGGTGATTAATTTCAAATATTTGGTTTAACGTAGGAACAAGAAATGGAAAAGCAGAAGCTATTATTTCATCAAGCTCGTCTAGCAAATCGTGGAGTAGCTGAGATGGTATTACTACATATTTCTGCCTGCAAAGGAGTACCAAGTGAAATGGTGATGAAAACACTACAACTTGGAATTTCAATTCTCCGTGGAGGAAATATTGAAATTCAACGAGGAATGTTAAATCATCTTAAAGAGAAGAAAGATGTTGGATTTTTTACATCAATTGCAGGATTAATGAACTCTTGTAGTGTTTTGGATCTTGATGCATTTGAAAGAAATACAAAAGCTGAGGGACTTGGGGTCGGATCTGAAGGTGCTGCTGGTGAAAAAAATATGCATGATGCTGAGTTTACCTGTGCGTTATTCAGATTTATTCAATTGACTTGTGAGGGTCACAATCTAGGTGAGAAATTCTTGTGAATACTAATCAATATCTTACAAATTCAATTACGTTAAAAAATAAAAAAAATCCGAATAAAACTACGACATAATTTGATATAAACAATTAATATTTTTTTTTACTTACAGATTGGCAGAATTATTTAAGAACCCAAGCGGGAAATACAACAACGGTGAACGTGGTAATTTGTACGGTAGATTACCTACTAAGACTTCAAGAATCGATTATGGATTTCTATTGGCATTACTCAAGTAAAGAACTAATTGATCCAGCTGGAAAAGCTAATTTTTTTAAAGCTATTGGAGTAGCTAGTCAGGTTTTTAATACCTTGACTGAAGTTATTCAAGGTCCATGTGCTCAGAATCAACAAGCACTAGCGCACTCACGTTTATGGGATGCCGTTGGTGGTTTTCTCTTCCTTTTTTCTCACATGCAGGATAAGCTGTCCAAACACTCAAGTCAAGTGGACTTATTAAAAGAATTGTTGAATTTACAGAAAGATATGATTACTATGATGCTCTCCATGCTTGAAGGTATAATTATTCATACTTTTTAATCCAATAGAATAATCATTTATGCAATGATTCATATATTTATTTTTTTATTTGTTTCGTATGAATTCTTGTGCTTTGTCATTTGAATTATTTATATATAAGTTCTAATCAATTATTCATTATGCAGGAAATGTTGTGAATGGTACAATTGGAAAACAGATGGTAGATACTTTGGTCGAGTCTGCAAGTAATGTTGAATTAATTCTTAAGTACTTCGACATGTTCTTGAAGCTTAAAGATCTCGTATCTTCTGCGAGCTTCCTTGAAGTTGACCTTAATAACGATGGTTGGGTATATCCCAAAGACTTTAAGGAAAAAATGGAGCAGCAAAAAAGTTACACCTCGTAAGGAAAATTTTTAAAAAATAAATTTCATTTTTATAATTCATTATGTTTTAATCTTCTTCCAGTTTTTAATCCGTTAATCAATAGCTAATGTATCTTGTTATTTCTCAATTTCTAGAGAGGAAATTGAATTTTTACTGGCATGCTGTGAAACCAATCACGATGGAAAAATAAACTACATCGCTTTTATGGACCGATTCCATGAGCCAGCTAAAGAAATTGGTTTTAATTTAGCAGTTTTATTGACAAACTTATCTGAGCACATGCCAAATGAACCGCGACTTGCAAGATTTTTGGAGACGGCTGGTTCTGTTCTTAATTACTTTGAACCGTTCCTTGGTAGGATAGAAATCTTGGGTGGAAATAGGAAGATTGAACGTGTGTACTTTGAAATTAAAGAATCAAATATTGAACAGTGGGAGAAGCCACAGATTAAAGAGTCCAAGAGATCTTACTTTTACAGTACGGTAGTTGAAGCTGGAGACAAAGAGAAGCTAGAGACTTTTATTAATTTCTGTGAAGATGCTATTTTTGAGATGCAACATGCAAGTGCATTGATGGCCGTTGAAGAAAGCGGAGGAATGGGCAAGGCTCGAGAGTCTTCTTATACTTATTTGGGAGAAGATGATGAAGAAAGGAAAGATCCAATAAGAAGAGGAATTCAAGCATTTAAAGATGGAATTTACTTCTTCTTTTCAATGTTTTCGCCAACAAATATCAAAAACAAAATTGTTGAAATGCAGCAAATGTCAATTCCTGAATTATTTATTGGCTTTTTCAAAATGTTATTTTACGCATTTTATTATTCCGGGTTTGGAGTTGGAATTGTTATTAATTACTTCCTCAAACTTTTACTAACTTTAATGAGAGGTCCACATGTAGAAGAACCTGTTGTTGAAGTGAAGGAAGAGGAAGAAAAACATTCAAGACACTTACCTGCATTGCCAGCAACTCCTGATGAATCTAATTTACAAGTAAGTCATCAATAATAATATAATCTCCAGTTTCTATTGATCTACTTATTTTTAAACATTGATTTTAATCTCTCAAAAGGTTCAAGCATTTGGAATGGATATAACAAAAGAAGAGGGAGGACAAATAAAAATTGCAGCTCATGAATCGAATGCATCAACTCCGCAATCTAGTATAGAAGAGGCAGGAGAAAGTACTCCTGAAGAAGGCACTTTCGAAGATGGAGCTCGAGCAGAGTCCGGTGAAGCAGAAGCACCGGTATCTTTAGCAGATCTTCTTGGGTAAATATAATAATTTATGCATTAATAATAATAACAAAGAAAGAAGTACAATGCATATTAAGTTTCTTGGTCTACTGATTTCAGAGGAGAACAGGCAAGAGCTCAAGCGGCAGCAGCTGCCGAAGCAGCAGCAGCTCAACAAGCTGCTATGGCTGCAGTAGAAGCTGAAGCAAAACAAGAAACCACTGCTGAAACATCAACAGGATCAAGTATTGACTTTTCTGAGTACACTCACAGAATTGTTTCTTTTCTGGCTAGAAATTTCTACAATCTCAAATATGTTGCATTGGTTCTTGCCTTTTTCATCAACTTTATGTTGTTATTTTATCGGGTAAGTATTTTATTATTTAGGTAGGTCACTCAGGACGTTAATGTTTTCAATATTTTGATTATTCAGGTAACGTCTATAGTTGATATTTCGAAGGAAGGTAGTGGTGATGCATTGGCCGATTTGATGGTAGACATGTCTGGTGAAAGTGGCTCTGGATCGGGTGGAGGTAGCGGTGGTATAATGGGAAGTGGAGCTGAAGGTGAAGGTTCTGAAGAGGACGAAGAAGAATTACCAGAATATGTTGCAGTACCTGAAGACTATTATTATATGGCTCATGCAATGCGATTAATGGCTGCACTTCATTCTATCGTTTCACTTGCAATGCTTGTTGCTTACTATCATCTTAAAGTTCCTTTAGCTATCTTTAAACGCGAAAAAGAAATAGCTCGTAGAGTGGAGTTTGATGGATTATATATAGCGGAAACTCCTTCTGAAGATGACATCAAAGCCCATTGGGATAAAATGGTTATATCTGCAAAAACTTTTCCGGTTAATTATTGGGATAAGTTTGTAAAGAAAAAAGTAAGACAAAAGTACAGTGAAACCTATGACTTTGATTACATTAGTAATCTCTTGGGAATGGAAAAGACATCATTTAGTCAGCAAGAAGAAGAAGGGTCAGGACTTATTCACTTGTACGTAGATAAAGCGTTATTATTATTTAATACTGGTTAATAATATTGAATTTGAATAATGAAAAAATATTGATTGATTTATTCAAAAGGAACTTATTAATTTTTAGCATCATGAACATTGATTGGAGGTATAATATTTGGAAGGCTGGCGTTACTATCACAGATAAGGTAAAAAAATGTTAATGGTCATATCATGAACAGTAGAAGATAGAACGACAGAAATAATAAGAAAGTAATGTTTTCAGGCTTTCTTATACAGCTTATGGTATTTTACCTTCTCTATCCTCGGAAATTACAACAATTTCTTCTTCGCTGCTCATCTCCTTGATGTAGCTGTTGGATTCAAAACTTTGAAAACCATCTTGGAATCAGTAACGCACAATGGCAAACAGTTGGTTTTAACTGTAATGCTTCTTACTATTATTGTATATATCTATACTGTCGTAGCTTTCAATTTCTTCCGGAAGTTTTATATTCAAGAAGAAGATGATGAAGTCGATAAAAAATGTCACGACATGATGACGGTTTGTTGCATTTATTTAATTACTTAAAAATATTTTATTAGTCAACTTATTCATGCAGTTTTAATTAATAATATTTTTTTTTCATTTATTAGTGTTTCGTTTTCCATCTATACAAAGGAGTGAGAGCAGGAGGTGGTATTGGAGATGAGATCGGAGAGCCTGATGGAGATGAGTACGAATTTTGGCGAATCCTATTCGATATTACATTTTTCTTCTTCGTCATTGTCATTCTTCTCGCCATTATTCAAGGTAAATATCAGTGATAATGATTGATATTTTTCAAAACAATTTATTGATCAAACAAACTTGTTGTTTCATTGTTTTAGGTTTGATCATTGATGCTTTTGGAGAGCTTCGTGATCAACTGGAGAACGTAAAAACAAATATGGAGAGTAATTGCTTCATTTGTGGTCTTGGGAAAGAATACTTCGATACTGTGCCTCACGGATTTGATACACACGTTCAACAAGAACACAACTTAGCAAATTACATGTATGTATACTCTTCTTTTTCATTAATATTTTCAACGGATATTTAAAAGAAAAACATAAAATTTCGAAGATCAATGTTTAGTAAACATTTGAGTATACTTGTAGACTTTGCCATTATCGTCTTCAATATTATTTCGTAAAATCCAAGTGAAAATCTAATCTTAGGTCAAACAACTCTTGAACTACTAACTAGAAATCTTGAAGTTTGTTCATCTTGTGAATAATAGATGTTATCAATTGATAAATAAGATAAATAATGAGCCATTTAATCTTTAAAACTAAAGGTAGAATTTTTTTTTTCTTCATAAATTTTTTAAAATTTCATTTTATTGACATTATTCTTATGCAAAAAAAAATTCTGTAAGTAATATTTTTATTATGAAACTTATAGATACTTTACTTTGTAGTTTATATTCAAAGCACATTTCCTTCAAATTGAGCCTACATAAAAAGTTTATAGATATAAATAAAAAAATTGAAATATTGATCTGAATTCAAAAGTAGGCCCAATTCTAGTTCTGCCAATAAAATTTAAATCGATCGAGATCATTTTAAATTCTAAAATGCATAAAAAAATTTAATGTAAGTTTATAATGACATTTTTTTAATTAAAAAAAAAATACTTCAATTTTTCTATTCGTAATTTTGATGACAATTTTTTAATTAAACTTCTTTAATCTGATGAACTTTTTAATAGTTTTTATTACTGTACAAATAAAGTTCTCAAGAGCTAGAATGATTATATTTCTTTTAGATTATTAGAAATTTAAATATTTGCCCAGAAAATTTATAAAATAAGTGTCTATAAAAAGACAAAAAATATGAACTTAAACCATTGACAGTATATCTCGCATTTAAATCGATTCTGACACCAAGAACTTTAACTTGTAATATCTCAGCTTTAAGAAAACTTAAGAAGGTTCTTCTCTCCAATCTGAGGTTTAACTTCGGAGAACGTAAATTTATTCTCTGCAACTAAAGCATGGAAAGAATATGTCAAAATTTCAATCGCAAAGAGAATTTTTTTCTGCAACACAAGCTTTGAATACTTGTATTACTGATTCTCAAAGAAATATTTGAATAAAAAAAAAGCAAATGAAGGGCTTGAATAGTACCTTTATACCATGTAAGCATCATTATCATTCTTTTCACTTTAAAAAATATTGTAATTAAAATGAAAGTATGCATGTAATAATTAAAATTTATGTCAAACGTGAGACTTTTTTTTGGCAGTTTGACTTTTTTATCATATTAAATTATTTTGAAATAATTTATCATTATTACTACCTGTACAAAGTTAAAATAATATTATTTTTAATATAAAAATTCTTTTCTTTGATATCTAGGAAAGTTTTAATTGAAAAAAGGTTCCAACCTTTTCAGAAAAATAGCTGATGCTATTGGATACGTAATATCATTAGAGGTCTGAGGTTAATACCGTGAAAATTGAAGTTCTTAATCTGTTGAAATATTTCATGTAGTTTGACCTTCTATATTCTTTCAATGAAATTTTTGTCTCCCAACTAAGTTATCAATTTTATTTCATTATTGTACTTGCTAGTTTATGTAATGAATAGCACATAGTTACAGAGAACATGTTTCTGTTATAGGTTTTTCCTCATGCATCTTATCAACAAACCCGATACTGAATACACAGGTCAAGAAACTTACGTTTGGAACATGTACCAGCAGAGAATGTGGGACTTCTTCCCTGTAGGAGACTGTTTCAGGAAGCAGAATGAAGCAGCAGTTGAGGAAGACGTCAAAAAGAAATAATGATAAGTTTTTTTTATTGAATATTATATTAATGATAAATATATATATACTTGATGGTTTGGATGGGAAGACTTGATGTTTTTCATCAATAAAAGAAACATTTTAATGGAGACAATTCTTTAAATGACAATCTCATGTCGTAGCGAGCTTCGAGCCAATAAAAGCTCGTCTGTCGCACTGGAATCGAAATTTTCTTACTATTTTTTATTATTGCACAGTAATTAATTAATTAATGCGGACTAGATTAAAGATTATATTAAGTAAGAAATTAAAATGCTTACTTAGTAAAGCTTTTTGAATTATAATTAATCAAAATGACCTCTAGAACAAATTAAATAATCAAAAAAAATTTTAAATTATTCATAATGATTATATAAAAAAATTAATAAAATTATAAAAAAAATTTATGAATTTTATCGCTAGTGGAACAATTATTGTTCTTAATTACTGCAATTAAATTCACCTATTTTTTCAACTTTGTAATAGTATTCATAATACAATGGTCGATTAAATATTTTAAATAATACAAATATTGTATGGTAAATTAGTCTTGAATTACTATTGAGTACAAGAAAGATAGTTATATTGAATGCACAAATTCATAGAAAGTTCATTGATCAGGTAGTTCATGTTTAGATCATTTTAATGTTTTTTTTTCATATCGTAAGTGCGGCATGATACATAGTGTCTTTCTAAGAGAAGAATATCGAAGTATATTAAATTTGTTATGTATTTAAATAAGTTATTGTATATCTACATCAAAGATTTATACAAATGTGAGTGTGATTGAAGATTATTCTTATTGGGAAGACAGTTATTTTTGAAAGATTGGAAAAAAGTACTATGAAATAATTTTATTATTAAAAAATTTTAATAAAATATTCTCTTTAACGATTTTAATGACGACCTTAATAGAAATGATAAAAATAAATTTTAAAAAGACATTATAGCTAAAGTAATGATTGATTTTGGATCCATTTTCACGATTGAATAATTTCAAGTTAAATTATTCATGATTTAAAATACTTTGTTGTACAATTGTAAATTATCTTAGTAAAGTAATATTGTTGTAATTATACATGAATCATTATTCGAAAATTAGTTATTTGAAACATATTTCATTTCATTTAAATAAATTATTTTTCTCTCATAAAAAAATAATTTTCTTCTCTCAGCGTATAGATAATTTATTATAAAAATTATTTTATGATTATTATCGACGACTGAACTCATAAATCTTTATAAATATTATAAATGAGATTGTCAATATTGTAAATAAAAAATCTTCGGCAGGGCTATCCGAAAAATAAAACCAATTATCACAAATCAATTATTTTTTCGAGTGATTTGTTAATTATGATCTAAGATTTTTTTTTGTCAATTAAAATTTTAATTCATTTATTGGTAATCTATGTATCAATAGCAGAGTAGGTTTCTATCTTGGAATAATATTGACGTTATAAAGGTCAGCTGGCCGGTAAATGAACAATTAAGATCACTTAATGACCATATATCAATAAACAATGGAATATTGGGTACTGCTGAAATTAATACAGAACTGAGTAATACTTTATGTGATGGTATAAATTATCATATCAATAAGCTGTACTTATTATATTGAATTAAATTTAGCTGTTAATTAAAAGTTGATCGGAAAAACAAAAATTATACAAATGTCTTTTTTTTATTCTTAATGAACAAATGAAGTTTTGAGAAATGTTTTAAGTTAAGACAAGAAATAAAGTTGAATTGTGCTAATGAGGTAATTTTTTTAAAGCAATAAATTTCTTAATTCAAGTTATATACTAGAATACTATCAACCACTCTGCTACTGATCCATTTACTTTAGTTTAAAAAAAATAATTGCATGTCTAGATAAAGTAATTATTATTTTTAACTCTATAAGACTTTTTAACTCCTTTCGACTTCCCAGTTTATTTTAAATCTTTAGAAACTCCCTCATTACAGTTTTTTAAAAAAAAGTAACGAATTTCAAAGCATTTTTCAACAGAAAAAAAATAATTTTTACTTTATTTTTCTCATTAAAGAGTATGGTTTGTTTTTTTTTTAGTGTTTAAGAAAGAAGCTAACATAAATAAATAAGATAAAAAAGAATGGGAAGTGAACTAGTGGTTTAAGAGTGATTTATATTCCTAAGACGTGATCAAGCATAGTTCAATCTACGCAAAAGGTCACGTAAAATTGGGAGGTATTCTCCAAGGTAATGTCAGGTGATAGATTTTACTCTTTACGATGTCGAAATGGAAAAGGGGTAACGGAGAGGGTGGAATAGTAGTGCGAAATGGGGTCGCGCAGGCGTGAGAAAGCATAGTCGGTAGTGTACAGGACAGAGAGGAAATGTACTCTTGCATGGGAGTGTCAATGGGCGCTCGAAGCTGTAATCAAAACTTAAACATGCAGCCCCGAAATGGGATCTGCGATAAAATTGAGAGTTACATATCCGAATTAAGCCAGTGGTGAGTGAGTGTTTTATAAATTGAGTGATTTATTTATTTAGTTGTGAATATTAGAAGTTATTGTGATAGATATTCCGGCCTTACTTTGGGTGGTTGCCGGGTTAAAGTGGCGGGCATTTACTACGCGTTGCACTCTTGTTAACGTGCCGGCTTTAACGTAGTCCTATACTACTAGTTTATCAAATTTTTATACATTTTACAACTTTTTTATTTTTTTGTTTATTTTTTTTAGAAAAAAATTATTGTTTGTCTCTTAAAGAACAAATATTATAAATAATGAAATTCATAAAAATTTATTAAACATTAATTATATTTAGCAACAATAAAAAAATTGATTGCTCATCATTAGTATTATTTTTATTTTTAACGTAAAGTGATTAAAAAAATTAAATTGAATTTTTTCAATAACTAATAAAGTTTTCACTTGTGTAATCTATTCAAACTTTCATGAAATTAAAAATTTTTTTATCGAATTATTAATAGTTATAATTGATTTTAAATATCTTATAAATTGAATTTTCTTGAACAACTTTATTTTATTATTCAATAGAATAATAATGGAAGTATTGCTGGGTGCTTCTCATTTATCTGAAATATTTTATCAAAAGGATTTCATAACAAAAAATGAATTATTGAATTTACAAACTAATTAATTGGTATTTCTTTAGAGTAAATAAATTGATTGAAATTGCTTTTTAAAATCGCAGCATTTTCTTTCATTCGTTTTTAATCATTTCATTAATTATAAACTTTTCTGTCGAAGATTAACTCCAGTTTTTCTTTCGTAATCTATTTATTCTAAAATCAAAAACACCCCGACAGTTGAAGTTATCCTTTAATTTATTTTCAAAGCAAAATAGATAAAAGTTTCTCTTTACTCTATCACGTAATTAATTAACTCAATTCAAATTGTTTATTCTCTGTAATTAAACATTGGTAAGTTCAGAACGTACTTGTTAATTAACATTTATTTGCGACGAAGTAGTGGAGATTATCAAAATTTAATTATTTATTATCAAGTGATTTTTTTTTTTATTCCTGTGGAAACAATTTAAATAAAATTGATGATAATATTGACAGGTCAGTCTGGAGGACTATCATACTTGGTCAATTTTTATCAATAGTCCTCTACTGGATGACACAATTAAACCATCATATAAATACAGTTTCTTTACCAAAGCTTTCAATTCCAACAGGTAAACACTGGACATTTTATCAAACAATAAAATTATAACAAAGTCTATTGAAAAAATAGCTTCATCAAAACTCTTTGTAAAAGATAAGAAATAATAACTGTTTACTAATTGAATTTTTTTAATACAATTTTTTCGTTTACCAATAGGACAAAATCTGCCTCACTATGCAATGATGTGTCTAGTTTATACAACTTGGATGTCATGTCGAGGAGCTGGAAATGGTTTAATTTCAGTTTTAAAAGCTCGTGGATGGCGATATTTACTTCTAGCTCTTATTGACGTTGAAGCAAATACTCTAGTAACTTCTTCGCATCAATTTACGAGTTTGGCGAGTATTCAGGTACACTTGAAACTTTTAAAACTTACTTTTCACTTTACAATTGTCTATTACATAAATTAGACAATTTAACATTGATTTAATGTTTGTCTAATCTTGTTTTATCATTTATTATTTTAATAAAGTTACTTGACTGTGTTGCAATTCCGGTTGCACTTTCATTGTCTTGTCTTGTACTTGGAGTGAGATATAGAATGGTTCATATTGTGGGCATATCGGTATGCCTAATGGGTGTTGGATGCCTGGTGTGGGCTGGAATAGATAATAGCAAGGATCTTGGAATCAATAGTAAGACAGTTATTCTATTTATATGTTAATTCATAATATTCATGTTATTTAAGTTCATCTATTATTTATATATTATTTACTAAAATATTGAAATCGTATTTTCATTAATCTTTAGATAAAGCAACCATTTTTTTCCAATATAATATTTAACTTAATGATCTTCTCTATACTTGAATATTTTTGAACAGTATTCCCCACAAGTTTGCATAAAAAAACTAGAAGAGAAAGTGGGTTTGATAGAACTAAGTCTCTAGAAAAGCTAGTTCAATTTTTCAAAAGTTTTCAAATACACGCTATGAATATTTTACATTTGTAAGAGAAATTCTAGATATCTATTGCCAATGAATATTGGATAATCAAAATACATTTTCGAAGAAAAAACTTTATCCAATTATTTGGATTCTACATTCTTATACAAGTGAAAATATTTCTTTAAAAGAAGTAACATCTATTTTACTAGAGTCATTTAGTCAGTCTTAAAGATAATATTGACATAAAAAAATTCTACTTTTATGTTCTTATTACTACTTGGATGAACAATGTTTCACTCTTACTGTTGACTTACTAACATTATTTTTACCAGGTAAAAATCAACTAGTGGGTGACATGTTATGCCTCGGAGGAGCAGTGCTATTTTCTGTAATAACAGTACTTCAAGAATTAGCAGTGAAAACAGTGGACATCATTGAATATCTAGGAATGATTGGATTCTTTGGCACAATCCTTAGTTGCATACAAATGTAATAAAAATGTTTTAATATTCACCTAATATTTAGCTAAAATTTAATATAATTGGATAATAAGCTATAATTAATTAGATTTTAATTTTTAATAAACTTGAAAAACTTTTTATTAAGTTCATTGAATCAGCTCTGCTATTCATTCATTAATCAGCTACTCTGTGTTCATATTCTTTTTCAGAGCCGTGTTAGAGAGACTACAAATAGAATCAGCCTCGTGGAGTACACTAACTCCAGTCGCAATAACTGCATTAGTATTCTACTGTATTACTCAGTTTGTATTCTTTTCTCTTGTGCCTGTAGTCCTCTTCGAATCAGGTGCAACTGCCTTGCAATTATTTCTTTTGACTGCAGACTTTTTCAATGTACTGTTAGGGATGTTGACTCATCAGTATAAGGTAAATATGACTGATATGAAATAGAAGATTAAAAATTATGTCACCAAGATAAAATGGAGCTTGAAAAATAGATTCAATTATTGTAGTTTCGAAAAACTCACTCTCCATCATCACAATGAATAAAATGTCATCGTTAGATAATATTTTTTTTTATATTTCAGTTCCACACTTTATATTTCCTGTCATATACACTCTCAATGACTGGGATAATCATTTATGCGATAAAAAGAACTCCAATGTCTACCAATTCTCGAAGACAACAACAATTGGAGGCACCTGCTCCAGATTACAGGTATAACAAAGTGTAAGATTTTACTTCTGTTTTCTATTTTTTATTCTAAATAAAAGTTCTTCAATAAAGCAGTCATTTGGTTGTGCGGAAATATTTTGTATTATTTATTTTAATTGAATAAATAAAAAATCTAATAACTGTAATTGTTTTAAATGGAAAAACTTGCTTTATTGAAGAAAAATGATTAACTTTAATGAATGTTGACTTATTTTAAAGCTTGTTCTCTTTCAACGAGATGCTTTTTAAATAAACGTGTATGAGTTGTTCTAACTGAGTTATAAGTTGTTGAAAAACATACGTCACTTCAACTTTGGACTTCAATAACTTCCAAGGAAAACATCATACAATGTACACTAGAGAGAGCATTTTCTAGACAAAAGAATTAACTTCAAAATGCTTTTTCAGATTTCTCTAAATAATTTTTTCCACTTCAAGAATGTTCTTGAAATTGTAGGAAAATAAAAAGTCCATCATTTTTTATTTCTAATGTTCAGAGAGCAGTGGAATGCCCTAATGAATTTTAAATAATATCTAAGAAATTGAGTCTAAGTTATTGTTGATTAATATAATAATAATTTTGCTGAGCAATTCCATTTATTTTATCACCATAAACTTTACTGTATGAATAAATAATTGGAATTACTCATGCATCTTAAAAATAAATTGTAGTATAAGTTTTTATTAGTGTAAGAATTCATATTATATTAATGAATTTAAAGTGATGTCATTTTAAGACGTATGTCACATCCAACTGGCGGTGAAGTGGAAATGTTATCACCCACAGTGATTGGACAAGAAATCTTGGATCTAGATGCGAAGACATCGACAGTCGGAAGTGAGAGAGAAACTGTGGATGCAACGAGTCTACCACTCAGTGTCAGCTCCGACACGGCCTTCACATCTTTTTATGGCAGCCAAGCCAACTTGTAAAATACACATGACTCTTTTAGAAAAAGTGCAATTTTTTTCCAGATAAATTTTTTATTTTAACAAAATACAAGTGTCAAAAACTTCAACATTCGAAGAAATTGAATAATAAAAGACACAATTAATTCAATAATAAAAAAGAACGTTGGAAAGAATAATCAAACAGCGATTATTTATCTTAAGGGAACATGAAAATTATACCGGTAATTAGGATTGATAGAGAAAATTAATTAATGGATAATAAACTGAGTCATTACTCAATTTATTTTTTTTTTAAATAAATAAAGTGAAAACTTTTCGTTAAATTGTGATTATAAATGGATAACGTAAGATAATAAAAAACAGAATTAGAAATCTCATTAAAAATGAGAATAATATACAAGTATAATATAAAAATATATTTAGAATTAGGAATAAATATGACTGGTTATTTATTTTATTATTTTTTACATAATAGAAATAAGTTGTCGGAGAATTTTCATTTTATCTAATATTCTATTCCAATACACTCATAAAAATTCAAAATTAGTGGAGAATGTTTCTTTTTCAATGAAAATTTATAATTGGTATAGGCTATATTTTATTACAATTATTTGTTTAGAATAAATAATAAAGCTTTCTCGGTTATTTGTTTCATAGATAAATTCGAATAATAAATTAAAACACAGCTCTATGGAATAATTTTTTTCTGCAATAATTATTTAAAGTGAGCATGATGTTTCCACACTTTACAAATATTCTAAATTTTATAATTATTAAATATTTGTACATTATTTTGTGTAAATGTTTATTACACAAAGACTCTTTTGTAATTCAGATAAATAGTAATCATAACACTAAACTTCGAACTAGCTTAAGGTAACTCACGATAACAGTAGTCTACATGGCCAAAGTAAATTTCAAGATGTGACAATCTCATGTAAAAAAATAAATTAGATATCTTGCATAAAAAATTCTGAAAAAGATGAAAGAATTTGATTAAACAAAACATTAAAATCTTCAAATATTGTTGAAAAGAAAACAGTAAGTAAATGTCTATTGTCTATTCATTTGGGCTGTGCTAAAGAGATCTCTTCGAGTTTGAAGCTCTAAGGGAGTCAAGTGATGTAGAAAAGACAAATACAAATACTTATACAATATAAAGTGTGCCAAAGATTTAAGTTAATCATACAATGATCAATACATTTTTTTATCAATTACTTTTCAATTATCTTTTAAACAATCTGACAAATATTAATCACTTTATAATAAAATAAGTTCAACGAATAAATAAATTCCTTGAAGTTGAAATACGTAAAATAATGGGAATAATACAAATGATTCCAAGAAAAAAATACATGTAATCATAAAATAATACCACATTTATACATCTACTGCTCAATGATATATTTATGCAAATATCTGGTGGTTTAGAACATTTTTTAAACATACTTTGTTACACACTTTCTGTATCAATAAAAAACTTTACTGTAAATGAATAAAAACTAGTAATAGGAATACAAAGAAATGCAGTTAAGTAATTTATTCATTGCAGACTTTAATAGCAATGCATATTTATTTTAAACGAATTATTCCTAATCGCCTACTGTTTTAATGTTTATGTTCGATATTTGCACAAATAGCTGATGAACCTAGTAGAATATTTAAAATTCAATAATTAAAATAAAGATAAATTCTTTTATCAACTAAATTGCCAGCAATGAATAAAAGCATTTCTTGCTCGTATCATTAATGATTTCACATTTAATAATTATTTTATAATTAACATTTTTTCTTAATTTAAATAGTAAATAATTGCCAACGCTAGGGCCATTATGTTGATTTTATTTTGACTGTGAATAAAAAAAATATATTCTTCATGTCTATCATTCATAGAATATCTTTAGATTAGAGCATTTTTTATTATCAAGAATCTTCATTTATCACTATTACTGATTTATAAAATGTTGATTAAATAATTCGATGGTAAAAATTAAACTTCATAATTACCCATGCAAAGATCTATGTGACAGCATCGTACATTCAGCTTCATTATTGCCTGGTTTATTTACATAAACAATTATTTATTTTTCTTCACTTCAATTATGAAAAAAATTATTGTTTGTCTTCAACCATAATATTTAGGCTGTAATAAATAATTTTATGATGTTTTTTGATATCGTATTTTTATATTTTTTCCCCATTTTCTTGAAGGTTTTGCACCAGGAATCAACGAAGCCGAATGTTTTTATTTAATTCAGTCTTATCTTAAAAAATTCTAGAGTGGAAACTCAGTATGAAATAAAAAATTATTCCTGCGGTCGGTAATTGCTCATTGGATATAAACGCTCAGAAGATACGAACCAGGCACAAATAAAGTTTACGTTGAATATCAAACCCAACACCGTGTTGATCAAACCCGTATCTAGACCAGCTCCAACCTGCGTTCATTTTTTATTACGAATAATTGCTCGTAAGTTATAAAACTATCCCTCTAATTGGGATGTTAGATTTATCCAGCTCATAATGTCGGATCAAATATTGATTTTTATGTGACTAAATAAAATTGATGTAGTGTGGTATACTCCAACTCCATGTGGAAAAGCGCTGATGTTTGTGACCAAAGTTTGGATTGCAATTTTTTGGCCATTCTTTTCGCAGTATCCCCTTTCGTAAAAAAGACGAAATTATAACTTTTGGTAGCTGGCGTTCTCACATTCATCAGTAGTGGAAATGATTTTTGCATTTAGTATTTTATTTTTAATTGGAAATAGAAAATTTAATTACCAATTAAGCTGAAAATAACGGATGTCGTCAATTAAAGACGTTCAACATCTTATTTCCATTACTTAATAATAAAAAATTTTGATTCAGGTAAAGTGTAATTTCTATTCAATTTATATATTCTTTGTATAATTTTCAAAGGGGGCGGTGGCTCACATAAATGTTTTCTTTTTTTCATTTCTTTTATTTCTTTCTTTTTTTTTGTTACTTCACTGAATCCCGTGGTTTCGCGAATTCGCTCAGAAAACAACAATGGCTGAAATCGAATCTGTATAAAATGTTTTCTAAATTATTTAGATCAATTTTAAAATTAAAACTCATCAGTGTTAACAATTAACTTGTGTTGAAAACTTTTCTCAAGCTGTAATTGAAAGAATAAAATACTACATTGAAGATAAATTATGGAATTTACACAGGTTGACTAAAAAATTCGGCAAAATGGTGATTACGAGTGCACATTATTTTCTATTTAATTTAAAATTTAATTTATTAGACATAAAATGTTTTTACAGAATAAATTTTTTCCAACAATACATACAACTTAACATAAATATATGGTGTATTCCTTCATATTAAGAAGTAATTAATAATATTTAAAAACTTTCAGAATGGATTTAGCAGAAACAATGAAAAATATTGTTGCTAAAGGAATGCAAACAGAGATGGGCCCACCAGGATCAGGAACTGGAGGAGGTGGCGGAGGTGCTGGAGCTGCTGGAGGCAGTAGTTCTGGGTACCCAAGCTCTCCAAGTGGAGCTGGTTACATTACTGAAAAAATGTATATGCTGTTGCAATTGTATCTCCAAAACAAAGGTTGGAGTCCAAGCATGGAATTGCTTCAATGTTTCTCGGAATTGAAAGAAGCCTCAATGCTTCCTAGTGCAGCTTATTTACAGTAAGTCTTAGCTAGCATTTTAATTAAAATAATATCCATATATTTACCTAGTCCTTTTCATTATCTTTAATTAGCTATAATTAAATTATTATGATGATAGATTGAGTAATTATATTTTCAAGTAGTAATTACTAATTTTTTTAAATAATTGATTGTGAGAAATTGTGAGTGTATTTAAATACTTGGTTCAATGCAGCAAAGCAATAGAGACCTTTGTCATATATTGAGTAAATTACAGTTCATTATCATTAGCTCTAATATTGGAATTTTTCAATTTATTTATCAACTAATTATAAACTCTTTTGCAGAATGATGGCATCTAGAGTTGCTTTAGATGCTCATGGACGCCTAATTCTTCGCGAGAATGGAAAAATAATTCTCCCATACGAACATTTTGCAAATGCTGTGATGCTGAAGCACATGAATGGTCATACAGGATTACATCTGGGTTTGGAAGGTACAGTGAGAGCAGTCATGGAATCATATACAATTGGAAGAGAGTGTTTTGGAATGGAAAAGGAGTTTATAATAGAAGTGGTTCAAAATTGTCCAAACCCTGCCTGTCGTTACTACAAAAATCAATTAGAATTAACGCAGAAAATGGGTCATATGGGGCCTACTTACATTCAAGATAATGAAGCAGCTACGTCGCTTTTGCGTTCGAGTTTTTCTCATAATACAGACTTTGCGTCTCTCAGTAATTCAGCATCGAATACTCACATGTCAGCTTCGTCGAGTGATCTGCCAGAAATACGTGCAAACGCCAATATGAATCTCCAACGTCCACCCAGTCGTCCATCATTGAATATTCCACATAGACCTTCATCTCAAGAAAGAAAACCTATTGCAAAACATCATTATGAGCCTCACCTTTCAAATAACTCGTTATCAGATCATAAAATATCAGATTTCTTGCGATCGAATATCGATAGTTTGGAGGGATTAAGTAGTTTAGGATTGGGAAATTTACAAGGATTAGGAAATGCTAATAAAGATCTCCTAGCTTTACATAATGGTGCTTGGGCTACTGAAGATAAGAACTCACGATCATCCAATAACTCTGAAAGTAAGTATTTTTTTGAAATAAAATCTCTTCGATAAAATTCTTGCCAAAATTATCAGTATCAAAACTATTTTTAAACGAGAAGTTTATTAATTATTTAAAATTATTTCTTCCTGAATGATTCAGAATATTTGCTAATTTTAAACTACAAATTGATTATTAAAATATTTCTGCTATTGGAACTGTTACGATGTTAAATTAAGTTTCTAGTGATTTTTACTCATTAAAATACTTCAAACTAAAATCTATTAATAGCTCTACTCCGTCATGTCAGTAACTTATGATAAATAAACAGATATTTCAAGAGACGTCTTAAATTTGTTCACTCAACATGTTAAAAGCATAAGCTAACATAAGGCAAGACAGCTAAATTTTGTAGTTTTAATTAAGGATTTAAAATTCACAAAATTTATTTTTATCAATAAATGTTTTCATGTCTTGTAGATTTTTATAAATGATTAGTTAGTTTTCGACGACTATTCATTTTAGTGTGAGTTATATAAATAAATATTTGTATTTAATTTTTTTATAATATTTCATAGGTGGTGGGGGAAAAATAGTACGAGCTTTTGCTGAAGTAATGAAAAACATGTCAAGAATGAAGGCTTGCGTACGTCCAGCAATGTGTAAGCCTTATGGTAAGCAGTCGGAAGCTTTACAAAAAAGTAAGTATATTTATAATATTTTATTTATCTAAATAATATTTATTTATTTATTACATTTAATTTTATTATTAATCATTCATTATTTAAAATTGAAGTACAATCATGATTAACAATAAGATTTACAGAAGAAAACTAAATATATAGCATTTTATTGAAAAAATAGCAACATACTGTTAAAATGGTATCATGAAAATACTTTTTTATCTCTTTATAATTTGATTAAATGTTAATTGAAATTGTATAGATATAAAATATTTATCAATGTAAATAATTGTAAATCAGTCTGTTAAAACGTAAAAGTTAATATTTTTTGAGAAATGCGATTTCGATAGATTTGTAGAGATTTGGAAAGACTTAAGTTTCTAACGTAATCTATCTTAATAAGTAATTGTTAGTTCGTTGATATCATTATTCATTGTCATATGTTTTCTAGAGATTTAAAATTCATTGATAACATTTATTAAAATTTGAAATCGAAGTCAAAACTAGTTATTCGATATCGTTAATGAATGATATAATTATTTACATCTTCCTTATTGTTATTTTCAGCACTTGTCGATACAATACAATTGGTACAATCTCTTAGAAGTTTTTTGCCACCACCACACTTCCCAGTTTCAAGCTGGAAAAATGAAGATAAACACAGATTAGATCATACTAGTGCGGCATATTTACCTCCTTCGTTGTAAGGATTAATAATTAATTTTCTTTTAAAACAATTCTTTAACACCAAAAAGTAATTCTTTTTCGTTGAAGAAATGATTTATTGTCATTTATTACCAACTTAATAAAGGTAAAAATAGTCAAAAAAATTTTCTATTACGGTTTTAGGAAAGCCAGTGCATTAGAGGAACTCTGTGAAGCCCGCAAACTGGATTGAGCTTTTGAATAATCATCAAAAATAAGTACATAAGGGTACTAAAGTGTTCTAGTCACAAGGAGTCAATGAAAAAGGAATGTGAAAGGATGGCTGATGAGCCAGAACTGTTTTGCTCAAAAGTGTTGGCGTTTAGGACTTTTGATGAAGTGGGTGGCAAAAATAAGTCATGCGTGGACTGTGATAAAAGTGGGTAGTCGAAAAAAATTTATCTAGGTCTGAAATCGAATTTTGATTGTAAAAAAATTTGAACTCTCGTTTTTAATATCAAAGATATTATTTTAATTTTAATACTAATGCCCTGCCAGTGGTGCTTATTGAGTACGAGTGCAAGATGTTGGACAAAACCTGGATAATCTTGCTACTGGCAATGTACTGATAAATTTTAACAGTATTTATAATTATAACTTTATTGTTATCTGATTAAGTCTTTTTCAATCCAAATAGTCTGGAAAACTAGTAGGATGTTTAAAAAAAAATATCTCAAAATTGTCTCCGAATTATATAAACTCGGAATCATTCCTGAGGTTCTTATTATATTCAATTTATATAACATTAATAATAAATCAATAATTTTATAAGAAAGATAATTTTTTATTGTAGTTTACACTTGATAATGATGATTAATTTTATTAAAATGTTATGTAATTGATTTTGGAAAATTTAATAGAAGTACTATGACTATTTGGATCGAAAAAGACTTCATCAGATAATGATAAAATAAAAATATTATTAAACCAATCTTGAGGAATTTTAATTAAAGTATTTGTAATATATATTTTTAGAAAAAGAAATAATGAAAAAAAGTCCTAAGAATTTTTAACTAAACGAGGTTGATATTTTGGCATTAAAAATTAATATAACGTATTATTATGAACCTCGTATACTCTATGACTGAACTATCAAAGTTCTACATAATTTATTTATTTAAATAATTAATAATTAATGATGATAATAGGAGGATTATAATAATCCAACTGATTTTTGTTATAAAATATAAAGTTTTATTATTTATACTTTCTTATAGTTAAAAAAAAATGTTTTCAACAAATTTTAAATGAAAATAATTATAAAAGTAATATTAAACATATGTAAGCTCCACAGGCAGGTCTTTGAATTGATACGAATGAATAAGTCGACTAAACAATTAAATAACTAATGAGTTATTGATTTTAAATATACTGTGCTATTTACTTTTTTTATTTGTACTTTATAGGCAATTATTAGATAAATCTGGCAGCTTATCAAAGAAATATTAAAAAGAATATTTTGTTAAACTTTTTTTTTTGTTGGAAATATATATCAAAATAACATGTTTGTAATTTTATCTTTTTTGGAATATATAAATGGCAATTTTTCTAATAAGTATGTTACTTCGTTAAAAATTTTATGTAAATATAGTTATCATAATTATTTGAGATGTTTTTTTGTGCGTTAAGTTTTGATAAAACTTTGAATCGTAAAAATATTTGTTGATTATTCAATTATCGAGCTGCTGCAATATTTAATGGTTGACTTGCATTATTATAATTTTATTATTATTATTATAATTATATTTTAATATGCATTACTCTGTATTCACCATAATGACGATAACGATAGAATCAACTCATAATCTTCATGTGTCACATAAAAAATTATTATCTGTCTCGTTATCGAAGAATATAATTTCAATAACAATAACCAGTAATATTACTTAATGATGTATTAAACAGTCTTAGATATAAATTTTAAGATTTTGTTGAAGAATTTGATTTCTTTTATAATCTTGGACAATGAGACATTTAATAAAAATCCGTTGTTCAATCAGTCTTAAGAATAATGAATATTATCATACACCAATGCTACTGATGTGTCCGCACTGCTAAAACTTGACGTCGCTTGCCAGTATTACTCTCTTGTATTCTTGCACAGTTAATTCATTGTATCAATTATTAAAATTTTTACAAGTGTGACTTGCCTTATCATTTTTTTCATTACTCAATAATTAAGGACAATCGTTTCGAGCTCTGAATCCTGATGATATGACTTCTTTACATGTTTCTATCCCACAAGTTTTACAGTAGAATCCCTCCTAAAAATATAAACATTTTTCAGTTAATTATTCCTATTAATAATTAGATAACTTCAAAAAACTTGACTACCTCTTCTTGAGTTTTGAGCACAAAAATCACATCATCTAAAAAGTAATAAGCTTGCCCTAGATCTCCTTCACAGAGATAAGGTAGTTTGCTCCAAGCCAGACATTTTAACCCAAGAGGACTAAAAACTCTGTCAATGAGTCCAGCAATTTGACCTTCCAGGCCTTTTCCTTTCACGGGTAAATACTCTGCAGGTTTGTGATCACCTCGCTCACCTACTTCGACGTAAGGACTAAAAGGTAACACCAATGCCACTACCAATCGACCACCTGGTGCCAGAGATTCTTTTAATAGTCTCAATAGTGTATTTGGACGGTCACATCGGTCCAGGAGATTGAGGCAAAGGATAACGTTGAAAGGACCTGTTTTGTACCACTTATCTACATCCAGTACTCTGTAAATAAATTATATTCATTAAAATTTTGCAATTAATGTCAAGTGTGAAAACTAAGATTAATTAATTTAATTAAAAAATTTCTTATGATATTTTTTGTGATATTTCAGATCATCTGAAACCTTGCAATTAATTTCTTAAGGACTCATGGATATGTTGGATGTAGTAAAAATTTGATAATTATCAAAACATCGACAAGGAAAAATAGAGCATCAGAAAATTATTTGATGAAGGGCCGTGAGAAATAAAACTGTCATTTAAAATTTCACGAAAATTCATTAATCAGCTACATGCATCTTCAACTTTTATTCCACACTGTTTATTTCTTTTCATTAATTATTTGCTCATAAATTGATAAGTATCAAATTGAAGTAATAAATGAGTTTGTTTAAAATAAGGAGAAGTGTAAATAAATAACGTACGTAAACTTGCGTTTAGCAAGAGCCCATCTCATAGGCGTGGACACATCGGTAGCATAAACCTTATTGAAAAGATGTGCAACGTGAGCAGTGGTAGCACCATCTCCTGCTCCAAGATCTATCACACTATTCCAGGGCCCATTGAAACCACTAGCGTCCATGAGCTTCTGGAATTGTTCGGTTGAGAAAACATGCATCGAGCCGCGTCCAAGTAAGCTGAAATACAAATGGAATTTTATTAAAACTTAAACAATGAATTATATATTCGAAATGAGACTATATAATGGATGGCGAGAGCATAAGTTTATGCTTTCGTTTGAGATGTAATTTTTTTGAGAGTTGCCGCTGAATTCGTTTCAATTCAAAGCTTCTATCGGGCCGATTGAACACATGGATCTGAGGGAAGGAGGGAGAATACGAGGGTGTCCCCGATGAAAAAGGCGGTTCATTTGAAAATACCTTGGAGAGCGGCGTTACCAGGTCCACGGTGATCCATCAATGCCGCGGTATTTTGATCGTGAATTCAGTTAGCTTCGTGATATAAATAAGGCTGAGGACTTTGGGTATAGGTGGTACAGGGAGGTCCACCCTAAAGGACTTCACCATCGTCCCCTCTTGTTGGGGAATAGCCGGTGCCATCAATTAACGAGCACCTCCCGGCCTCATTGAATAATAAATAAAAACAAGAAAACAACCAAGTCGATGTTGGGGAAGAAGAGAACAAGAAGACCGAGAATGAACAGTAAAAGGATGAGGAAGAGCAAAAAGGAGAATAAAGAGCATGTAAGTAGAGAAAAGTATGGCAAAAAATTGTGTTGAAATGTTTGAAATTTTCATGGCTCGTTCTAATACGATGTGTTTATCAGTTCATCAAATTTATACGCCAGCAGGAATCCTGGACGATTTGTGGTTGTCAGGAATTTGTTATTAACTTTCAATAAAAAGTCTACTCTACAATGTAAATCTAACTATAGATTGATGAAGTTGATTAGCTAGTTAACATTGAATATCTTGATGTAGTTATTGATGACTTCATGCTGAAAAACATCAAGTCTTTTAAACCAAGAAGAGTTGGAATATTTTGTTAGTGCAAAATAATTTAAATCACTTAGTGAAAACTGGGTTCAAGCTTAAATTGATGATCAATCTTTCATTCCTTGGTTAAAATTACTTTCTGAAGTAAGTAGTGGTTTTTTTTCATTATTTAGATGCATTGTAATTATGCTTGAATCATCCACAAGTATGTAAGGTATCCTAAGCTGGTGCTAATTTTCAGCTTCTTATAATTTAATAGCAGTAGAGTTTTATTTATACTCAATTATCATCACCATTATCATCATGAACAATGTTGATAAAACATTTCTATTCACTCAAACGAATAGTTTTAATGTAATTGCAAAAGAATCTTATTTATGTCAAGATCATTCTGCTCCTATTAACGTTCATTATGAGTAGCATCTGAACCAAAGTTGGGCAATGTTGTATGAAATATTTTCAGTTCTTAAGAAGAACCTTTCTTAATAATTAAAAAAATATTTAAAAGGAAAAAATTAATTACGTACAGTCTGATTGAAGGATAAAAAAGATACTTTTTGAGTCAGCGAAATTTTTTACAGTACAAGCGAGAGTAAGGAAAATAAGACAAGGATATCCCTGGATAAGAAGAGCACGACTACTCTTTCATTGTTCGCGCTCGACTCGCCCATGGTCTTTGACTTGTCCTTTTCCTTTCATTCTCGTTCCTTATTCCATTCCAGATCCTTATTTTCATCCTGCTCGCCTCTTCACCTGGGGCCCCACTGACAGACTATGTAAGTCGTTTTATTCTTACTATCATCCAACTTGTTTACTTGCTCTTTCCCTCTTCCTTCCTCTTACTCGCACTTATCCTTGCATTATTCTGTTTCCTTTTCTACCTAGGGACCAAGTAAAAGCACTATAAAGGACAGAGAAGGGAAAAAGAAGAAGAAAGATACACGTGCGGCCCACAAATCAGATGTGCGGATCGCAGTCGTCCCTGGCGGCGCGAGCGACAATTAATTCACCGCTTTTGCTCTTGGCTAACCATCCTCAAAGACTCCTTCCCTCCATTGTGTACTCGAGCATCTATAAGACTCCCTCGGCCTCGTCTCTCTTCACCCTTATAGCGTACGTGCAGTTGTTTCTACCGCGCATCCTTTAATTTGGAGAACCTTCATGGCGGCACGCGGTCTGGAGAAGGCGATCTTAACATCCGCTAAGATCTTAAACTCGATATAGATTTTTTTTTCCTGTCTTTTTGTTGTATTTTTAAACGGATAAATATTTGCTTGGTTGGCTTTATTAATAATCAACCGATCGTTGCTGATTTTTGCTCACTTTCTTGCTGGAAATTTATCCAGTATCATTTTCTACAGTCTCATTTATAATCTTTTTATTTTAAATATTCATCCTCATCTCATTAAAAATAATTAAAATCCACCAACTATTATTTTAATTAAACCAAAAATATGCACCTTTGCCAGAATTCTTTGATTTATTTAAATAAACATTATTCTAATTTTAATTTAAACAATTAGCTATTTATTGTTGATGATTAATTGGTAATATTTTTTATTGATAGTAAAGATAAAAGTCTTTATGTACTGAAAAAAAAAATTATTCTAGAGCTCATTTTATTTATTTAAATATTTAAATTTACTCTCTTTGTTGATCAATAAAAATTTGCTTCTCGTATAAAAAATTTCATTCATGTTTATAATACTCAATGTCACGTAAGAAATTTTTTAAAAGCCTTGATTTACGATATTATTATTATATACATAAACTTCCTGACGATGACAGGATGATAATAAAAAAAAAGGTAAAATAAAGATCAAAGGTAAGGGTAAATTAAATATTCAGAGTTTTAATGGAATGCCCAAGCTAATCTAACGCGAGCGACGGGATCAACTGGCTTGTATATCCTAGAGTGCACACGGACACTTTTTCACAACCTAAACACGTACAGTGCTGACTCTGCAGTTTACCAGGGCGGCACGCTGTCTGGCGATTACGCTCACGTTCCACTAGCATCGCGATCTACCTTGGAGATGCCGCTCTTCTTGCTCCACGATGGATCTCAAAGTACGGATGCTTATTTTTTTTTATATTTACTTTTATTATTTCCTTTTTTATTTTTACTGTTATCATTATTATGTTTGTCATTTATATACACTTTACTGAATCAATGGAAATGAAATGGTTTTTATTATAATTTTTTAATATTTAATTAATTAAATAAATTATAAGATAAAAATTAAATAGTCTAGTATTTTTAAAAATTTTTATCACATTAAAGTATCACAAAAATGCATATTAATAAATAATTTTAATTTACATGGAAATTAATTTTTTAATCAACATTTTATTATAAAAATAATCATATTGATGAATTTATATAAAGTGTGAGTTGGAAAAATTGCGAGATTTTTTTTAAGTGATTGAGAAGAAATAGAAACGAAAACATAAAAAAATAGAGAGCAAGTTTTTATCGATATGATTAAAAGAAAAAAAAGGATAACTCAATGGTGCATTTAAAGTCAGACCACAATAATACTAATGATGACGATTATGCTAACACGAATCTACCTTCAAAATCCAACATAACAAATTTTATTTTTTGAATAATTTATTTCTTTTTTGCACAAGACTACATCATTATGTGAGGATCACATAACGAAGAGTCTTTCACGCGTAACAGGATATATCCTCGGTACTTTTACCTAGCGAAATCGATACTTATCGCCTTTTCTTTCTTATTTTATATACATTTAGTGTATATATACGTGTATATTCCACCCTTAAAGCCGAATCTCAACATCAGATCACTTGTGATTCTGCTTATACCACCCACTCGCAATGATGCACAGTGTAGTTGTGCTATATAATCTTATCCTTTCAACCTCATCCCTAAAGAAAAGCCTTAGTAGTAAGTACTAGGACATTATATTTGACTCGAGGGTGCTCGTAAAGTAGCTGGACCAAAACGACTTATAGACGATCGTACGCTTCTCTGTAGTGTTAAAGAGCAGGCGCTCGGAGAACCGTTTACCTAATAATAGCAATAATATGTTAATGGGATGCGTATCGAACCGCCATCTAAAGAATTCAAACCTGGTCCCGTGGCTATTGTTTGCAAATCCTGTTTAACCGTGTGCGCACCGATCCGAACGATCAGGAGGATGGGCAGAAGGACAAGAGCCAGCACACAAGTTCATTCTATGTAATTGTAAGGGTATAAAGGCTTTTACTACATCTTCGACAACCACCTCGTGATAATGTAAGTGTATATTTTACTTTTAAGTCAATATATATCATTGTGTTTTTATTTAACGGCTGCACCACTGTTTATACGATTTGTAGTTTACACGGCTTGCATTGTGCACTCACACAATCATTTATTTATTTTCTTAACAAATGTAGTTGTTTCTTAATTTTTCGAAATTTTCTTTCTGACTATGTTAAAAGACTTTTCTTATACGGCTAATACACATTTTTCCTTTATTAATAAAAAAAAATCGTTAGAATAAGTTTATTGATATATTTTATTCGAATTTACTTATTTCCTGCTTTAGAATTTTTTTATATAATTATTGTAATCGTAAATAATACGACAATGAAATAAAAAAAATTACTTCAATTAATAAAACATCTTATCAAATAGACTGAATGTATTCGTTACACTAATGTATATAATATAAGTCTGTATTCAAGTATCCAATGTTTAAATAATAATTTAAATTTTTTAATTATTGAATAAATAAAAAAGTATTTTAATCAGTAAATTATTGTTTAAATTATGTGAATAATTAATTGTATAAAATTAATATCAAGAACGAATTGTGAATAAATGTTATGATGAGTTATTGGTTAGTGTTTAGCAACAACAATGATTAATTTGAGATGGAATTAGTTATCGATGCAAATGAATAATCCTCAGCGTCTTAATACTGATGACGAAGAGAGGATGTAATATATAATAGCCATTATATCTAGTGTAGCTTTTAATTTTGGTTATGGCAAATGTTCTAGTTCATTTAGCACGTGTGCAGTCAAGTGCATCGAGCATTTTGCCTAGATGATACGATGAGAAAAAAAAAAACTGTACGAGTTATTGGTCTCCAAAGAACACCTGGGTGCGCTGTTACTCTGGCTTAATGAACCGAGTGACACAGGATCGAGCCAACGCCTAAGGA